AGCAGGGTTGAGGGCTAGGTACTGATGTTTTGATGTCTGAAGCAAAGGACCCAGGCTGTGAGAGAGGTAAAATGTTTCTGTCTGCTGGGGTTTCTTTCTCATATTCATCATCCTTCAGTCCAAATAAATACCATGTTTTAGTGACACAAGCAAATAGTAGCATCTGGACCATTTTATAATACAGTATAGGGACATTTTCAGTTCTCTCAATTATTTTGGGGGTGACTTCCTAGGCTTTAAGAGTCAGAAAAGTCCAGGTGTTCAAGTTTCAGCAAGGACCTAAAGACGTTGCTGCTTTTAGAGTTTAAAGGAAGAGAATAGGAACACAAGTGATGTTGAAATCAGGATGAGAACTGCCAGTTGGGCATTATGTATAGCGATGTGGCAGTTACTGGTGACTTTTAGCAATGCAGTCTCTGTAGCGTGGACAGAGGGGTATAAGAGAGAATAGCAGAGAGCAGTTGGAGACAGTGGATATAAAGACCCAGCATTGAGAAGTTTTGCTTAAGGGGAAGAGGAAAAGGGCAGTGGCTAGAGGGTATGTGGGGTCAAGAGAATTTTTTAAGCAGCTTATTTGTATGTTCACAAGAAAGATTCGGTAGAAAGAGAACAGTGCGTGCTGTGGGAAAAAGAAGGGAGAATTGCTGCTGCAGCAGGATCTTTAAGGTTGTGAGAGGGGATGGAATCCAGTGAGCAAGGGGAGCCAGGGTCTGGTGCGAGCACAGAGAGTTCATCCACAGTGATGGCAGGGGTGGGACATAATGTGCACATCAACTCAGCTAAGTGGGTGGGTAGATCCGGCTTTGGAAGCTTGTGGAGGTTTTTTGGGTTTGTTTTTAATTGATTCTGTTTTCTTAGGGAGACAGAAATAAAGTCATATGTTGAAATAGAACTACTCAGTTTAAGAAAAAATAGATGAAGTAGTTATTTAGGAGGCCTGGGGATAAAGAATGGGTTCTAAGCAGTATTAGTAGTTAATACCAGTAATTTAAAGTGAGACCATTAGCCAGTTCTGTTTTGTTTTCTGTCTGGCCTAGTCTGTTTTGGGGATGTTGGTGGGTAGGGAGTACAGAATAAGCACAGTATTAGACTTAGCCAGGATTAGCCTAATGGGCAGGGGAATATAAACGTTGACCGTGGAATTTAAGCTGATTAAGACCAGAGGAGAGGGAAAGACAGTGAAAAATGAGTGTCACCAGCTAGCACTGGTCCTTGCTTTAGTGATAATGGAAAACTGAGACATTCAACAGGTATTTACCACAAGTATAAATAAATCAAAGAGCAAAATAAAAAACAATAGGAAATAGGGAGATACATCTTAGACATATGGGAAGGGGACTGAAAGATGTTAAAAGAATTAAGGATGTGTTTGTTGTGCACATGTTCCAAATGCACAGTGAATGTATTTACTATGTGCCACAAGTGTACTGATAAAAAAATTCATATAAAATAAAGGGGAACATAGGTGTGACAAAGAGCAAGCCTGTCCCCTAACAAAGAAGAGAAGGTAGAAAAAGTTTCTCAAACTGAAAGGAGGCACAGGTCTGAAGAGATGGATCAGACTGGCCCATTCACAAAAAAATAGAGACCAGTTTTATGGGGTCCTGTAGGTGGCTGGGGTCTGCTTAATTATTATCCTACTCCTGGTTTCTTAGCTCTGGAGGAATCCTCCTGGCTTGAGGGGAGTTCAAGTCCTGTGAGATGATTGTTTCTGCTTGAAGCAGTCTCAGGCATGTGAGGCTTTGGTGCAATCCAAGGGCAGTGGAGGCTTCTGGGTATAGCTGAATAACTAAATCTTTTATCTTGGTGTCTCATTTGGGAAGGAGATAGGTTAGGTAAATGCAGGGCTAATAAACCCTGTCTTGCCAGCTTTTAGACAAATACTTTTTAACATGCCTATATGTAGAGCTAAGAAGGAGTTTGACCCAGAGTTTTGTAAAATGAATGTGAAGCTTTGTTCTGCTTTAGTGACCTAGTGGCCATCTGTAGGCTCAAGTGAAGAGTCACGTTTTTGTTTTTACACACACAGACACACACACTCACATGCTGTTAAGTCCCTGTCTACCTCAGAAGAAAACACAAATCGTGCTTTCAATGAGTTACAAGTTAAGGGCCCAGGAGTTTGTTTGATCTCTGTCTCTGTGTTGATCTCTGTATCAGTAGAATCTATGACTCTCTGGTTCTGGCAGGTTAGGGTTGTGTACTTGACAGAGTGGCCTAGAGATGTTTGATTGTATGTGTGGGGATGCTAGACACAGGTTAGACAAGGCTTGGAGTGAGACCATAGCAGTGAATGGTAAAGGTGGAGCTTAAGACAGATCACTAGAGTAGAGAAGACCAAGAACTGAGAGGCTAGGATTTTGAGTGGACCATATGTGCAGATAATAAAATCACTGGATCATGACAGCAGTACCGAAGAGCACAGCAGTGTGACAGAAACTAAATTCTTCATGGAATGGAGGATGATCCTGTCTAGGCTGGTATATAACTCAAGGTTGTTGTCAGATGCTGGAGTGTCCAGTGGTTCCAGGCTCTTGTCCTGATCAATGAATTGGGTGTAGACAACTGATGAATGCAAAAGTTTCATTTATTGAAGGAAAAAGTAGAAGTGAAAAAGAAGAGAGAAAAAAAGTAGAAGTGAAAAGCAGAAGAGAGTAAATGCACCCCATACACAGAGCAGGTCCCTGAAGAGTAAGGAGACAGTGGCCATGAGGCCCAATGACATTCATCTTTTCTGTCTTCTTTCTGACATCAGATCCAGGCCTTTAGAAGCTGTTCTGAGCTCTGATTTGACAGCTTTCCTGATTGCAGGTCACACCACATTATCCAGTCTCCTCTGTGATTGACCAGTCACACCATATTGTCCAGGCTTCTTTCTGATTCTCCATGATAGATAGGTTACGCCCTGTTGTCCAGCCTCCTTCCATGCCCTAATCTCCTGCTTCAGGGTGGTGAGTGGAATAATCTGATGATACATGATTCAACTGCCAGGATATTAAGGCAGGGGAGGATAACTGCTTGGAAATGGTGAGGAGAAAAGGGAAAATAATACATGAATAGGAGGGAATCACTTAAAAGAAATACTTTAAGAAAATTTCCTAGAACTGAAAAGATTTGAGCTTCCAGATTGGAAAGGCCCATTGAGTCTCATAATAGTGAATAACTACAGTCATACCAAGGCTTCTCATATTGGAACTTCTAAAATATTGCAAAATGAGACTATTGTAGAATCTTCCAGAGGGGGGAAAAAGTTTGCTATTAAAGTTCCAAGAATCAGAATAGCAATGAACTTTGTTGCAGCCCTGGAAATAGAAGAAAATGGAACAGTGTTTTCAAAATTCCTAGGGACATGACTTAAGTCTACAGTTCTATATCCAGACAATACTAGTTAATTGTGAAAGCAAAATTAAGACTTTAAGAAGTGCAGGTGGCAATAAAAAGTGTGTTTTATATCTCTCAACAGGAAGGTACAGGAGAATGGGAGCAAGGGAGTAAAAATAAGATGTCGGTAACAGGCCAAAGAACTCAGCCCAGGAGAGAATAAGAGCACCCAGGCTGGCACTGTAGGAGCCATCCATACTGGAGCAGATCAGAGCCCTGCAGAAGTGTCTATAAGATGGTGGATTTAACTGTACCTGATATATTTGAGTAATCAAGGGGGATAGACCATGGAAGAATGTAGGAAGAAATAAGGAAAAAAATTTAAAACGATCTTTTAAAATAAAATTTAAAACATTATAACTGCACAATAACAGTTGTCCAAAAACCATGGCCATTCTCTACTATATGCTTCATCTATAAATAATACTTCCTGAGTCAGAACAGTGTAAATTCTGAATATTAATCTAATAAAAATTAGAGTCGAGGGGATGGGAATTGGGTACATTTCTGGAGCTGTGTTTTAGAAAAGAGTTTGAATTTGAGAATTGAATTTAGAAAGAGATTGAATTGTCTGTTTGTGTGTGTGTGTGTGTGTGTGTGTGTGTGTGTGTGTGTACAGAGTCTGTCCAAAAAATGTATACACACTTCAGGAAAAGAAAAACTTGTATAAATTTATTGAGATAATTATTTATAAATTATTGAGATATTATGAGATAAATACAAATTACCTTTGGCCTCTACAATTATAAGAAATGCTCAAAGTGGTGGCCATGAGCTTCCAGACGTTTATTAGTGAACTGCTGCTTGGGTAACCTTGGTCATTAAGATTGCTGCACATGCATTTTCAATTTCTTCTCCAAGGGCTGGCAGGGTAGTGGGTTTTCTGTGATACATAGCATCCCGTAGGGTCCCACATACAAGGTTGAGAAAATACTGTACTATTTTTCTTTTCCTGAAGTATGTATACTTTTTTGCCCATGTATATGAATGTCATTTAGAGACAGGGAGATGAATACCAAAAGAAATAGTGAAAGAATTCAAAGTGATTGTAAATTGGTAACTGGAAATGGAAAAGGATAGAGAAATGGCTGGTTATTTCCTTGTTATTGTTGTTGTTTGTTTTTGAGACAGGGTGTTGGTATGTAGCCCAGGCTGGCCTCCAATTCATGACCCTCCTCCCTCAGCCTCCCTAGTGCTGGGATTATAGGTGCGAGCGCCACTGTGCCCAGCTGTTTTTCTTAATATGTTTTGTAGGATTGTCTCTTTAGTAAGTATAAGATTGCTTAAAATACAATATATGTGGACATATATAAAATTTAACAAATCAAAGCTGTGAATTCATATTCTCTAGTACTGGGAAGAAAGAATCACAGATTTGTCATATGTCATTTCTGAAGTATAACTCTTTATCTGCCCTCTCAATTCTCTCACTCAGAATAGAGCAGACTTTTTACAGCTTGTTTAGCTGCTTGCACTTACCCAACTGGAGTTCCTGCAAAGGATTCTTCTTCAAATATAATAGGAAATAAAAGGATATGGGGCAATATTCCGAATAAAGATCTGCATGGAGTTTCACAAACTAACCCCTCTTCTCTCCCAACTCCCTGTCTTCTCTTCAGAGCACAGAGCCATCATGGAAGCTGCCTTTGTGTACGGGACTGCGTACCAATTTGTCTTAACCACAGAAATAGCCCTTCTGGAAAGTATCGGGTAGGTATAAGAGGCCTATGGTAACGATTTTGTTTTATGTTCACTTATGTCACATTCTCAGTCAACATTTCCATGATACTCTCGCAGCATGGGCTTACCTGAAGGAATCCCACGCAGATGTGAATTTACAAGTGAAACCTGAAATGCCCTTCATTGCTCTCATCTGCTGTAACAGGATGTACAGGAGATATACAGATACAGTGTCAGACTGAGATGAATAGGACAGGACGGATCAGCCGCAAGGTGGGATCCCATGAGTGGCCACATGAGGTATCCTAGAAATAGCTTTCCCCAGGGATCAGGTAGCAGGTAAGATAACCGCTTTCAGAGCAAAGCTCCAGAAATTCTTTGTGAGAATTATTTTTTTAATTAAAAATTTTTATTAGTACATATTTTTAATACAGAATAGTGACATTTGTTTTGGGGAATTGTACATATATCTTGATCGCTTTCAATCCCTTTTCTTTCTTCCCACCCCCTTCAATTCCCTTCTCTATCTTAGAGTTTACTTTCTAATCTTCTCTTCGTGATTTTATTCATTTATATATATTTTAAATTTCTCATATAAAAGAATGGATGCAATATTTAACTTTCTTAATCTGGCTTATTTCACTTAGCAGAATGGTCTCTGGTTTCATTTACTTTCCTACAAATGACATGATTTTATTCTTTTTTTGTGTGTAAGAATATTCATGACAGCTTTATTCTAATAGCCTCAAACTTAAGACATCCCAGGTATCCATCTATGGGACAAACTAAAATATTCATATGAAGGAACAAATGACTGAATTCTGAAAAACACAAAGCTTCCCCCAAAATATATACTATTGGATGTTCTAAAATGAAGAGGATTAACCTTTAGTGGAATGATAAAAGATCAGAAACTTGGTCATGAGGCTAATTGCGTGAGGTCCTTTCATTTCCTCATAAAACTATAGGCTACCAAGTACTACCAAGAACTCTCTGCTCTCCAACCTCACACCCATCTGTAGTTCTGTGCCCATCTCAAAGGAAAGGATGTCACCACCCTCGCCAGAGGGAGCGGGCCTCCATGTTGAAAAATGCAGACTCTAACCAAACTTCTTGGGCATACTGGTTTTCCCAAATCTTGGTTTTCTCCCTTCTTCAACGCTGGCACCAGCAGCCCCCGCCACTTGGGCGCGTTCTCCTCACTGAAAACCTCTGCAGGGCAGCTGCTGGGCCTGCATGGTGCCCCCGGGGTGCCTTTGGGTGGGTGGTGGGCGGAGGGGCAGCGGTGGCTGGCCGGGACCCTCGAGAAGGCGAGCTCGGAGCAGGGCCACAGGGCCACGCCCGCGCACGGCCACTCGCCCGTACACACTGGTTTCGGACAGCGATCCCGCACCCTGCCCTGGGGCCAGGCCCCGCCCCCGGCACCTGAGTGCAGCCCCAGCGGAGGAGCAGAGGGCAGAGGGCCAGGTCCCGAGGGAGGGGCACGACCAAGGTGGGGGCCAGGGGACCTCCGGTGCAGTGCCGGAGCTTCCTACTAGCGAATTCGATTTTATTCTTTATGGCTGAATAATATTCCATTATGTACACTTGCCACATTTTCTTTATTCATTTGTTGACAAGTATCTAGGCTGTTTCCAGGGCTTATCTATTATGAATTATGCCATTGGAAACATGGGTATGCATGTATCACTACAATATGATGTCTTCAATTTTTTTTAAGAATATAACCAGGAGTGGTATGGCTAGTCAAATGGTATTTCCACTTTTTCTTTTGAGGAATCTTCATACTTATTTTCTTAGTGGCAGCACTAGTTTACATTCCTCACCAGCCTTCATTGCCTTCTGTGTTCTTGATGATAGCCATTCTGACTGGGATGAAATGGAATCTCCATGTAGTTTTGTTTTGTGTTTTCCTGATCTCTAAAGATGTTGAACATATTTTCACATAGTTATTGATCACTTGTACTTCATTTGAGAAGTGTCCAGTTTATTCACTAATTTTTTATTAGGTCGTTTGAGTGTTAATTATTTTTGAATTCTTTTTCTAGTCAACATATTTGTCGTTTGTCAGAAAAGTAGCTAGCAAAAATCTCCCATTCTGTAAGTTGTCTGTTCACTCTGCTGATTGTTTCCTTTGGTGTGCAAAAGCTTTTTATTTTGATGTAATTTCATTTGTTGACTCTTAATATTATTTTCTGTGCTAGTAGAGTTCTATTGAAGAAGTCCTTCCTATACCTGTAGCTTCAAATATTTCCCCTAATTTTCTTCCAGCAGTTTCAAAGTTTCTGTTTTTATATTTAGGACTTTGATTCATTCTGATTTGATTTCAGCACAGCATGAGAGAAAGGGCTCTAATTTCAATTTTCTGTAAGCAGATATCCAGTTTTTCAGGACCATTTGTTAAAAAGGCTGTATTTTCTCCAATTTATGTTTTTGGCTCTCTTGTCAACAATCAGATGGCTGAAGGTGCATGGGTTTGTTTTTCTGTTTTCTGTTCTCTTCCATTCATCTACATGTCTTTTTTTGTGTCAGTACCATGTTTTTGTTACTCTACCTTTGTAGTGTAACTTGGAATCTGGTATTATGATGTCTCTAGCTTAGCTCTTTTTACTCAGGATTGCTTTGGCTATTCTGGGTCTTCTTTTTGATTCTGTATGAAATTTAGGATTATTTTTTTCTAGTTCTCTGAAGAATATCATTGGAATTTTCATGGGGATTGCATTGAGTCCATAGATGTCTTTTGGTAATGTGGCCATTTTACGTTTTATTTTATTTATTTCTTTACCATTTATGTAACTTTTTTATTAGCATATGTTTGTGATACATAATAATTATGTTATTTTGGGGGATTGGTATATATATATAAAATCTTGATCATTTTTGATCTCCTTTATCTCTCAACATTCTTTCTCACCCTTCTCAAGTTCCCCTTCCCAATTTCCAAAAAAAACTACCTTCCCATTCCTACCATCACTTTTAAATTTTCCTCTTGAAATTACTTATATTTTGGTTTTCTCATGTAAGAGAAAACATGCCATATTTAACTTTCTATGTCTGTTTGATTTCACTTAACATTATGGTCTCAAGAGCCATTTATTTTCCTACAGATTTATCATTCTTTATCCTCCATGGTGTATATACATCATGTTCTCCTTCATTCATCTGTTCATGGGTATCTAGGCCATTTTCATAATTTACCTGTTGTGAATTGCACTACTGTCAACACGGGTATGCATGTATCACGGTAATATGCTAACTTTGTCATTCTTTTGGGAAAATACCTGGAAAAGTATAGCTGGGTCAAATGGATTTCTCTGACTTCAGTGTTTTGAGGAATCTCCAGAGAGTGGTTACACTAGTTTACATTTCAACCAAGAATGTAGAAGGATTCCTTCTTTCTCACATCCTTGACAGTATTAGTTGCTTTTTGAGTCCTTGGTGATAGCCATTCCAACTGCAGTAAGACGGAATCTCAGTGTTGTTTTGATTTGCATTTTTCTAATGGCCAAAGATGGTGAACATTTTTTTACATGCTTCTTGATATATGACCGTTTTAATGATACTAATTCTGCCAATTCAAAAACAAGGGATGTCTTTGCATTTTCTAATATCCGCTTCAGTTTTTTCTTCAGAGTTTTGTAGTTTTCATTACAGAAGTTTCAGTGTTTATTTTTCTTGTCCATCTTCTAGATTACAATTCTAGATAAAAGCCTACTTTCCAGTGTTTTTGGCTGGGCATTCTCTAGTTAAATTTTCTCTTTCCTTTAATACTTAAGGACACAAGCAATAACCAGTGCATTTTAAGACTAAATTTGACTTCAAACTGCCCTTCAGGAAAGTTAATTCAAAGGAAGGCAAAATGGTAATTAACCTTTTAATGCCATGTGTCAGCTTTTAATGAGCCTTACTGACCTCTCAGGACATAGTAGCTGTTTGTTACACTGTACATAATTGTTTATGGCCCAGATATTTTACGACTCTGAGTATTTGGAAGCTGATGATACACAGAAAACTGATGAGGTGAAGTGATTTGAGGGTCAGGGTAAGCAGAGAAGAAAGTTCTTACGGAGAAGTTATATTTTTATTGCTATGCCATTAACCTGCATTCTTCTTTCCAGTATTCTCTCCTTATTGGCATTCTGCTGGTTTTCTCATTATGACTTAAAAATTTAATGCATGCTGTTTGTATGGAAAATGTATTTCTAACAGTGTGAGAATTATACTAACCATAAATCTTTGCTGTAAGTAGTCACTGAGTCACAGACACAAAAGAGCAGCAGTTAGAGCCAGTCACTTTGCTGCTCTCAGTGTGTACCTGCTTCCCATCCTGGCATGGAGGAAGCCTTGCCTGCCCACCCCCACCCCCATTGGAGAGTAAAGCATGGTATTGTTTTGGAAGGTTTCTTTTTTTTTGCTTTTTCCCATTTTTAAAATGGGAATTGAAAATACAGTTATGTTGTTTTGTTTACTTTTGAACATACTGTATTGGGGATGTCTGAATTATCATTTCTTCATGAATAACAAGATAATGAGGAATCATACTGCGACCTGATATGACTGGGTAGGACTGCGTGTTCTAAATACAGTGGTCATATGACATTCCTTCTGAAGAAAATGGTTAGATAGAGTGGTTTTCTTCTAATGGAGGTGAGGTTGAACGTTTGCCTGCTTACTTGCTTGCTTTCTCTCTTTCTTTCTCTTTCTTTCTTTCTTTCTTTTTTTCTTTCTTTCTTTTCTTTCATTTGTTCATTCTATTCAGCTGATATTTATTGAATACTTGATAGGTGCTAGGCATTATTCTGGTTTCTGGGGCTATACCACTGGATAAGATTAGTATGTTGATTACTATATCATGTTAGGCCTGAGTTTGAAATTATGTATCAGTTAAGGATGTATAAGATGGATAATAAAGGCGGTAGCATGCAGTAGAGACACCAGTACTTTCTGCATATTGTCAGAACACCTTTCCATATTCCTTTTTAAATTTAAAACATTTTTATTGGTACAGGATTTAGTGCATGTAGGTAACACGTCTTAATTTTTTTGTCCCCTTCCTGCCCCTCCCATTTCCATATTCCTTTTTAAAGGATCTGTGTAGGTCAAGAATGGTATTACCCTTCACTCCACATGTATCAGTGAGTTAAATCAGAAGGTGGGCCCCTGACCTAAGGTTATAAATCCACTGCTGAGCAAATGGGATCCTCTCTCTTAGGAGTCTTGGATTTGGTGTGAAGAAACTGGAGTCTACAATTATCTAGAGCTGTCTTACTCACAGGAATTTTTGCCCAATTTTGGGAAAAGCAGCGAAGTGTCTTCAGAGAATGAGTTGGAAGCTGAAAAGTGTTAGTGACAAAATGAACGCCCCTGAACTCTTGCTGTTTGGGTCTGTGTACAGAATTTATAGATTTCTATCACTATTTGAATTTTCTGATCATTATTTGAATTTTCCTTGTATTCTGTGAGATACTCTTCTAAACTTGCCCTAAGTTCTCTTCACTTTGGCTTCTGTAACCTGCAAGCAGGTGATCCCTGATTAAAGAACTTTCCAACATGAGACATCAGTGTGGACAGAGACTTTAATATGAAGTCCAGTCTTCACTGGGGTCGTCTGTGCTCAGAATTTTTCTTAGCATGACGTGACTATTTGGAGTTCCCCTCCAAAAGTTACGTACTGCCCGTGAGCCTTTGGTACATTATTGCTTTTATTTGAAAGGCCCTTTTTTCCTGTCTTCTGGGAGAATCCACTCTCTCCTTTTGTTTTTTAAGTTTTTGATTTTTCTTTCTTTCCTTCCTTTTCCTTCCCAACCTGAGACAGAATGAGGTATTTCTTTGTTCCTCATAACATTTTGTACATTATAGCACTAATAAACTACAATTTGTTTTACTATGTCTTCTTTAGTTTAGTCCTTCAAAGATTTGAATTGTCCTATTTATCTTTATCTCTTGTGTTTAACACAGGGTCCAAAAAACAGTTGGCATTAAGTATATCTTTAAGTGATTATTTCTCTAATCATTTCTAATTAAATTTGAAATCAGCAAACCTTGAATATTCAGTTTAAGCATGTCTCAAGAATTAGAATAGTATTTTAAAGATAAAATTTTGTATTTGTCAAACTCTACTAATGCCATATGGAAATTTTTAAAATGTTATTTTAATTTTGACAAACCTTATTCCCACTATAAGTTTGTCTTTGTGTTCTCATAGTGGAGGAAATGCCAGAACTTGAATTATAAGCAATATTTGCTGAGCTTTGTAGTACTTTAGATATTAACTCACAGATTCCCACAAACTATTACATGGTTTTTATTTTAAGGCCTGTTTAGGTTAAACTTTATTCAAAACAGCTTTGGGCTTCAATTAAAACTAGAAAATTCATATAGAATAGCTCTAGAAAAGCAACTATATTTAAACATATCTCATTGTCCACAAGATTACATCCTTTTATTGAAACACAGTTATGTAGGGCTACATATAACTTAACTGAGAAATTACCATATAAAAAAGTTCAGGGAGAAAATTACCTACATGACTCATATGATTTGTTCAGATATTAAGGTTAATCTTTAATATTCTATAGCCTGTTTCTTGGCCCAAGTTTATTTAGTTTTAATTTTATAATCTTACTAAAACAATAATTCAAAAGCAGGAGACTTAATTGTTACATCTTTTGGGATGGTAGAAGAATCACATAGTGACCTTCATTAAGTGGATGTCCCTGATTTTTAATTTGCAGCTCAGAGGATATAGAACGTGCACATCTCTACTTTTTTCATTGTAATCTCATCTCAGACTTGACCCAGCAATGTAGAAGAACACTAATGCGACAGCCTCTGACGACATTGAACATTCATGCGTTTGTTAAGACAATGAAAGCACCTCTGTTGGTATGTGTCTTATTTTAATAGACTAGATAACTTGCACATAAGATGTATTGCATTTTTATTCACAGATGTGTTTTACTTAGATGAGTTATATGTTTTCGCTTTTCCTTGAACATATTTCTTGGATTGTGAGATTTAGGAGTAGTTCTTTATTAAAGACAGAATAGATGATAGACGCTTCTTGTTTTTTGTTTTTTGGTACCAAGGATTGAACTCAGGACCTTGCGGTTGTGAGGCAGGCGCTGTGCTACTGAGCTAAATCCCTGGCCCAAGATGCTTCTTAAAATGACATTTTAATGCCTTGATTTATTATTTCGTAGCATTATATAAGTGAAATATTCTATGGTAGTTAAAATGAACTCTGAGACTTTATGAGTGCTCACATATCACAAAGATCATATTGTAGCTGAGAAAAGATCTCCTTTTTAAATGCTTTGATCATTGTATTAAAACTTGGTATATATTGCACCATAGGATTTCTGGTGTCGTTTCCTCAGCATCAGCCCCAAAGAACTTCAGAGACTCACTAGATGGTGGTGATCAAGTACTTTTCTCTGAAAGGGTAAGGGCTTGTCTTGAACATGGATAAGACCTTTAAGTAGATTTTGTCACTTAGTAATTTTTAAAAAAATAAAAGGCTGCGTGCATATTGTAAACAGTGCAGCAAAGTATAAAGAAAAAAATTTAAGACATTGCCCAGTCCCAACACTCAGGAAGTAGTGCTTGGATGACCATTACACTAGTCATCTCTGCACCTGTGTAGATACATACAGATAGCAGGATACACTGATGCACGGACCTGTCTTACTTAGTGCTACCAAATTTGATAGACGAAAACAATGCGAAAGTAGAGGGATTATGGACTTTTGACTGATGAATGTCTTGCCGTCACTAAAGGTTCTTCAGGAAATACTGTCTGAAGTGTTGAAAATTACTGTATTGTGAAAATCACTAAGAAATTAATCATTTTTAAAACTTCATATTTTCATTTTAGGATTAGCTTTGAAAGATGAAATCAGCTTCATACATTTATTTTCATCTCTTTTGCCTTTCTGATTTTTGTTAGTATTGTGTTATTTTTACACTTTTCGGGTCTATAATGTTTATATTCTGTTTTATAACCATAATTCGCACTTTTTAAAAAGGTTTGCTTCTACATTTAAATAAATTCAGAGCTTAATTCCTTAGTTCTTTATTTTAAGTAAGCTTTTCTTTAGTTGGATTTTGGTTTTGAAGATTTCTTTTCTTTTCTTTTCTTTTCGGTACTGTGGATTGAACTCAGGACCTTGCGCTTGCGAGGCAGGTGGCAGCACCATTAAGCTAAATCCCCGGCCCAAGGCTTCTTTTCTTTTTAAAGAACATGGTCTATAGATCTCTTTTCTTTCAAAAGAAGCAGCCTGCATCTTATTTCCATGGAAAGAATCACTGCCGAACTTACTTGGATGACCCATTTGAGAGAAGGGGCTATGGGGAGACAATTCGCTGTACAGTTCTTCACCGTGTCTTTCTAGTTTCATTTCCTTCTCTTCAAATAGTTAGGTATTATTAAAAATTCTCAGGATTTTCCCTGCACATCAGTAGGGAGCAGGATAATAACTTGTTGCAAACTTGGTAAAAATCTGTCTTTTGTTTTTCGGTTTTTTTCCTTTGTATTCTGGCTTGAAATTGCTCCTTGCCTAAAGTTTCTGCTCATGTACTTTCTTTTGCTGTTTTAAAACTAGTTTTTTTTTTAAGGGATGGAGTTTCCTCTGATTTTTTTTGCTTTATGACAGTTACTTGAATTATATAATAATAGTTTTGAAATTAAAAAACTAAAACTTTGGAGACTTCATAATAACTTGGGATTCAATGAAATGCAGCTTTACCTGAAAGCTTGACATGACAAAAAAAATTTAAGGGCCCTATTTATATTGTATACTCTGTGAATAACAGCTCCTAAAATATACATTTTATAAACTATAATGTGAATGGGGCTCCCTGGGGTTGTGTAATGTAGGTGATCCTGCTCATGCAGCAGGAGTATTAAATGGTCAAAGTGTGAAGGGGGGTTTGTTTCAACACTCTCACAAAATGATACTTAAGTATCTTTGTTTTTAAATCCCCCTAACACACACAACTAGGGAACTAGGATGTAGGATTCAGGCAGAGTTTCTAGAAACTAATATAGGTAGGAATGGCCAATAGCATGAGGCTAAGAAGGATCTAAATAGCAAGATTAACATGTTCCTGCCAGCTTGAGCCATCAGTGGTACACCCATGTGCATGACTATCTCCTCAGGCAGTTTGTACCACCCAATGGGACTGTCCTATGCTGCCCAGTGGGTCAGCCATGCAGGTACTATTGGTGGTTCTCTGCTGCCTGGCAGTGAGACATACACATTTACTGCTCCATCGAGAACATGTTAAAGATCAGTGTCCGATTGGAGAGGTGAGAAGAATCCAGATCTTGGTGTCAGCATAGAAGGACTTATCAGAGAGAGGCAAAGAAACACATTAGTGCTCTTTCTCTGAGTGGCAGAGATCAGGTGAGTACAAAGTACAGAAAAGGAGACAAAGCTTGAAAACATTCCTTGACACTTGGTGGGGTGGCTAAGGTCTAATTTTGTGGGATTAGGAAGATATTAAATAGTTCTGAGGTAGTTGGTCACTTTTATATTTTGGTACTTAAACATTTGGCTATACCATTGTTTAAGGTTATTTTATTTATTTATTTATTTTTCCAGGACTGGAGATCGAACTCAGGACCTTGTGCTTGCAACGCAGGTGCAGTGCCACTGAGCTAATTCCCCGGCCCTAGGTTAATTTTGTTCTTAAGGAATACTTGAGGTTAAACAAAGCACGGTCAAATACTTTTATAGAAAACACCCCATAGACCAAAATTTGATGTTATAGTATTATACATTTTGATGACGTAATGAACCAGAAAATCATAGAAATCCTGGAAGTTAGTACCTAAATTTGATGACTTCTTAAGATTCTTACCTACAAGACTTGTTAGCTGTTGACCTGAATTACTGTTTTTTAGCTTTTGTTCTTCTTTCATTGATGCTCATTCCTGTTTCGCACCACTGTTAACCATTCCTCCTGTGTCATTTTCCACACCAATCCATATACAAGCCTTTGAGGTTCAGTCATGGTTAGGTATTTATATGGTTAGTAAGATCTTACACAAAGGAGCCTAGCTGGACCTGGTGGCACACAGCTGTAATCTCAGCACTCAGGAGGCCATCCTGGGCTACATTGTGAGTTTAAGCCCAGCCTGGAATACATAGTGAGGCACCATCTCAGACAAAACAAAGCAAAAAAGAAAACAAACACCCAAATAAAAAAACCCAGCCTGTACTCATGAGTTCAGGATCTGAAATAATTTGATGTGTTTACGTCAAAAGCTTGTTAATAAGCCAACAAAAATAGAAAGTAGGATTCAGACTTTTTTGTAAACTGTTTTGTGTGTTATCCTATGAGTCCCAGCTAAACTTAAGGGAATTAGGCAAGACTTGTTCATGAGGGGGCATGGCAATCAAGGAAGCCACCATATATAAGTATAGGATTCTGTCTGGAAAATAATTTTTTAATCTTAAATAACTGGAAAGTTTGTGAGAATGCATTTTCCTGTGTATCTAGTTTTATTCATTCTGTTCATTACTCGCTGTGCTTTTTCATTTGGGCAGCTTATGTTGTTCAGTTATGGGAAAGTTTTGTGCTTATTTCCATGATGATTTCTTCCCTTCTGTTTGCTCCCTTCCCTTTCTCTGTGACTCCTATTGTTTAGATGTTGGGCTTCTATTAGTCCTTTAGTGTTATTTATTTATTTATTATTATTATTTTTTTGGTACCAGGGATTGAACTCCGGACCTTGCGCTTGGGAGGCAGGCAGTGGAACCACTGAGCTAAATCCCCAGCCCCGCTTCAGTGTTATTTATTACCTTTTCTCTCTTTCCATCTCTCTTTGTTCTGCTTTCTAGGAGATTTTCCAAACTTTTCTTTTCAAGTCTTTTTGGGCATAATGTCTGTCCGTCTCCTTGAGGGTCTCCGTGGTGATTTTCGAACCTTTCTTCTTCCTGCATAGTCTGTTTCTCTCCCATGTTACTTATTTTTTGGTGGGTTCTGGTCACTGTCCTTCATGACAGAGCTTTCTCCCAGATGTTTATTAGTCCTTGGATGTCTGTTCATGATTGAGGATTTTAAAATTTTAATTGGAATTGGAAATTCTGAGAAGGTTGGTGGGACTTGTTCCCTTGGTCTCTGTAGGGTGATGTGACCTGGGCTACCTTTTGGGGAATCCCATGGTCATTATCTGTAGGCTCTTGTGGGTTATTCAGGATCTTGCAAAAGCCATCGTCTGATCTTGTGCTCAAGGATGGAGGTCTGGCTGCTAGCATTCTGAGAACAGTGGAGAGGGGCTTTGGGGCATCTTAGCCTTCAGTTACTTAATCATACCAATTTGGTATAGTATCCACACTCTCAACTGTGTCTGAGGTGCCCTAGACACCTGCTGGCATCCAGGGAGAATAGTTGCCTAAATTTATGGAGCTAGGAAAGGGAATCTAGGGATCTAGCTGCTTCTCAAGACCTTTGACCTGCAATGTATGTTTTTGGTCTCTTTCTCAAAAATCAAATGGCTGGAGGTGCATGGGGTTGTTTCTGTATCTTCTGTTCTATTTCATTCCCATTGGTCTACATGTCTGTTTTTTGTGCCAGTACCATGTTTTTGTCACTATAGGTTTGTAGTATAACCTGAAGTCTGGTATTATGATGCCTTCCACTTTGCTTTTTTTTGCTCACAATTGACCAAATTAAAAAATAGGCAAGTGAGCTAAATAGACACTTCTCAGAAATGTAGTACAAGTGGTCAATAAGAATATGAAAAATGTTTATTATCTGTAGCCATCAGAGAAGTACAAATCAAAATTACTTTTGAAATTCCATCTTATCCCGAACACAAAAAACAATGAATGCTGCCAAGGATGTAGCAAAAGGAACCTTCCTACATTGTTGGTGAGAATGCATACTGGTACAGTCACTACAGAAATCAGTATGGAGAGTGCCCCAAAAACTAAAAATAGAAATACCATTTGACCCAGCCATACCTCTCCTAGGTTTGTTTGTTTGTTTGTTTTTTGAGATAGGGTTTCACTTTGTAGTTCAGTCTGGCCCTGAACTCATGGTGTAGCTCAGGCTGGCCTTGAACTTGGGGCAATCCTCCTGCCTCTGGCTCCCAAGTGCTGGGATTACAAGCATGAGCCCCTCTCCTAGGTATATTTCTGATAAAATTAAAGATACCACATTTTAGTGATATATGCATGCCCATGTCTATACCAGTACAATTCACGGTAGCTAAACATTGGAAGCAACCTAGATGCCAGTCAGCAGACGGTTGGATGAAGAAATTGTGGTATATATACACAGTGGAATATTATCCAGCTAAAAGAAGAATGAATTCATTGTAGGAAAGTGGGTGGAACTTGAGATCATTATGGTAAGCAAAGTAAGTAAGACCCAGGAAGTTAAATATTACATATTTTCTCTTGTATTAGAAACCTAAAATATAAGTAAATGAATAAAATAAAGGAGAGATGATAGGAAACTAGAAGGTGGGCTTTCAAAGATAGGGAAGGGGTTCTGGGGGAGAGGGTGAACGGATTGAAAAATGACCAAGATGTTATATGCAGGTACAAGTTCCCCAAAACAAACATCACTTTTCTTCTGTATTACAAACATGCACTTAAAAAAATAAAGACGCTTTAACCTGTTCCTTCTCATTTTAGAGCCTTCCTGGCATTTTTTCTATATATAAGACAGTTCCTGAGCTGTTTTAGGGTTATGTTGTTAAAATTGAGTCATTTCTTAGCTTTTTCTCTCACTGCTCAGGGTCTTGCTTCCTACCAAGACCATGTCACTCTTCTGTATTCCAGCCTCCAAATATTGCTGCCTCTTGTTTTTTTCTTTGTTCAAATATCTTTTTAATGTCTGTGGTTTTCCTGGGATTTCTAGAGAGAGTGAAATTAGATTCATGTATCCAATTTGCTGTTTTAATTTAGATGTCCCTTATAATGTGTCATTTATTGTCTATTAAATTGTCATGAGAATATTTGTCTTATCTGTTTTATTTCCTTTGAAATACCTCTTTCAATACCACATTCTTTTATTATTTTTGTTTCCTTATAATATGCCTGTTTTTGTGGTTATAATTTTATGTTTAATTCCTTATAAAATTTCTTGGTTTTATAATGTTTACATTATGTAGGTACATGGAAGCATTAAATATAGAAAATTATGAGATTGTTTTTATTAATGTTGAATTGACTTCAGAGTTGTTTTTGATAATGACTTTATTAATATGAATTAGGAGGATTTAAATCCAAATGTTGGAACATTTAGTGTCACACAAGGTATTTTGTTCTTTTATTTTAAATAAAGACTGAAGTTGCTGAAGATCCTCAGCAAGTTTCAACTGTTCATCTCCAACTAGGATTACCACTGGTTTTTATTGTTAGCCAAAAAGCTACATATGAAGCCGATAGAAGAACAGCAGAATGGGTTGCTTGGCGTCTTCTAGGAAAAGCTGGAGTTCTGCTCTTGTTAAGGTATCTTCCACATTGGGTAGCCACTGTATTTGCAAAACATTAGTATTTTTCTTACACTTAATATAATCTAATCACATCAAACCCTCAGATCTTGAATAGATCCCAATATTGTTAGAACTGATTGCTGAGCTAAAGTTTGTGCATTATTAGTGTGATGAATGTGGAGACTAGACAATTTGGTATGCATTTGTATGTAAAATTTCTCAAACTCACTCAATTGCAATCATTTTTCATAAACATTTTTTAGTATAAGAATTTATAGTTCTATTTTAGATTGACCTCCTGGATGACTGTTACTCTCCAAATTAGCAACATAAAACATTTATTTCCATTTCGAAAAAGGGACTCTTTGGAAGTGAACATTCCTCAGCATACCAATGTGGTCTTCAGAAGAGCAGAAAAGGTTAGTCATTTTATGTACTGGTCTGTAATGTGAGCTTACTTAAAGAAAGTACATGTGGTCCTAAACTAATACGTGTTTTTCATGGAAAAAGAAAACCTGTGAACTGGGCATGGTGGCACGCACCTGTGATCCCAGCACTCTGGGAGGTTGAGTCAGGACGATTAGAAGTTTTAACCTAGCCTGGGCAGCTTAGCTGCTTGGCAAGACCCTGTCTCAAAATTATAAAAAGTAAACAAACAAACAACCAGGCTGGCAGTGTAGCTAAATGCTAAGAAAAGAATAAGCTTTTCTGTGAGTTGCATTATTAAATTCAATGCATTTCTTTTTAACTTCCTCATCAGGGCAATAATGTTGATCCTGAGACTGTATAATCCCTCTTTGTCTCTCCCTTTCCTGTATCCCTCCAGGCGGTGAGCTTGAGTGTCTCTAGTAGTACTTGTTGAACAAATAGTATTACAGACATATTACTACAAGCCTTATAATGTATAATAAAAGTTACAATAAAAGTATCATGGGGCCGGGGATTTAGCTCAGTGGTTTCGCCACCTGCTGCGCAAGCACAAGGACCCGAGTTCGATCCCCGGTACCAAAAAAAAAATGTATCATATTCGTTCTTCAGATATTTTTTTCTCTGTTACAGTGATTAGCAAAATGGGATTCAGTGTTTATGCTTTAGAGTCATATTGCCTAGCTCAAATTCTACTTTATAACTCTGGGCAGAGTACTTCTATTCATCTCCATATTTTCTGTTATAAGATAGGGATACTAATACCTACTTTAAAGGGTTGTTGCATCAGAATACTAAATGAAATAATGTAAAGTGCTTACTTAGCTCTGGCCCCAACATTGTAAATGCTAATAAATGTTAAATAATATTCAATAAATGTTTATTAGCCACTTGCATTATTTCTAGGAAGTGCCACTGGAATTTTTGGTGTTAACTGATATTGATTCCATAATTTCTTATGTGGAAGATAATGTGGAGATGGAGGAAAATAAAGACAGTGACGTGGAAGATCCAGATTTGGGTAATAGTTGTAATGCCCGCCATCCCCCTTGTCCAAAACCCATGAGGTCAGTGAAATTTCCAGTGGATTTCCTTTCTCATAGAAAGTGTTTACATTCAAAACTTTGTGAAGAGACCTGGAGAAATTTATTTTGAAGCATATGGTATCAAGTTGATTGGGTGAAAAATGTAAGGATACTCTACTTTGTGTAGTATATGCCTGTGTTGTTGTGTCAGGGTTCTGGCTTCCGACATCTCTGTCTTTCTCTTCCAAATCAGTTCTTGCAGCCCATGTAGCCTACTCCATGTTTAAAAACTCCACTCAGAAACCACAACACATTTCATTTTTATTCTTCCTATTCAGAAATGAAGTTGTAATTAATATTTGTAGTTGTAAATGAGTCCGATTACTGGTAGTATAGTGAAAAATTTCAATAACATTTTAGTATTTCTTTTAATATTATTTCTGTTTTTTTACTGGCCTTAACTGCTTACATTTCTGAAGTATTTGCTTTTGATCTGTGTGCCTCCACGGCTGCCCTTCTCTCTGCCTGCGTTTTTCCTTTAACAGTCAGCTAGCAGCAGCTCTTCCAAGAAGCTTTAATTGTCTCTCGTATCAAGTTAGATGTCCTTTATATGTTACTGTACAGTTTTTATCAACTTTTAGTAGCATATTTACAAATTGAAAATGTGGGGGTTTTTACCATATGCACGGATGGATCTATGATCTAGCAATCTGTCAATCTGTTGATTAGTCTATCTAAATTAGCAAAAGGTTTTCACATATTCAGTATCTGTCTAATTTCATCCACTTAGGATAAAATCCAAAATTCTTGGCCCATTTGTCCTCCTTGGCCACTGTCTGTCATGCAGTTTCCTCCTGCCATTTAGTCCTTCAGCTCCACCTTGTTTTAATCATTTTTCCTTTTCTCAGCACCTACTATATGCTAAACTCTTTTATGCCTCAGAGCCTTTGCACATGTCACTCTCTTTATCTAAAACGTTCTTAATTTTCTACATAGCAGATGTTGGATTTTCCTAATCTAAATTTCCCTGTTGCAATCTCTGACTTACCTTTTACCTTCCTTCATAAACTGATAATAATTTATAGTTGTATGTGTATTTGTTGATCAGTTCATTGTCTAGCTCTTCCATGTGGTCAGAGACTACAGCTGTGATTTTACCACTTGTGTTTACCAGTGCTTGGCATACAGCAGAAGCTAAATAAACACTATCAAATATGGATGGTAGGATCTTTGGGGATTAATAATTACTACTGTGGTTAGAAACAAAATAACAGTATTCATATTATTTGTAGAGCAAAGTTAAGTGATTACTTCTGGAGTTAACTAAGCATGACATTTCTGGGTCAGAAAGCATCCTCAGGTCCTTTAAGGTAGGAAGCCATGCAATTTAGAAAATTTTCTAAATATCATACATTTTAACTAGCCAGCCAGTAGGAGTTCAGGAATTTTAGTAAAATACAAAGTTTTCAAATGTTTGCTTGTGAGAAGAGTTTAAATGCTTTTAAGTAGAAATGTATGTTCACAGCTATTTCTTTTTAAACATTTTAGATATTCAAGATGATGAAGTAGCAGAAACTGTTTACAGAGATAGGAAGAGACAGTTACCTTTGGAAGTGACCATGGAACTTACAGAAGAGACATTTCATGCGACAGTAATGGCTTCTGACAGCATTGTGCTCTTCTATGCTGGCTGTGAGTTTGAGCCTTTAGAGGAGACTGTGTTACATGGGAGGACATTTAAAGTAGATTTCACATTTTTCATTCTTTATATTGCACATTGTCATCTGACATAGCTTTTATATGTCCCACTGCACACTTCAGTATGGTTCAATCCATTTGATCCTAATGGATGAAACTGATTGTATGTTATATTATAATTTACAAATTGAAGATTAATAATTTAACTAGTATTCAACTAAATAATTTGAAAAGTATTATGATTCAAAGTAATGGTTTTTAATATATTAGCAATTATTATAGATTTAAAGGAAATATATTGCTTTTATCTTCATATGGTAGCCATTCAACTGTGTTACATGGAATACTAATGCAAAAAAATGGTTGCATTTGAAACCCTTTCAAGGAGTTGGACAGTTGAGTAATCTGCACTATTTGGAAATAGCAATTTTGGGAAAACCCATAAATCTATGTTTGTTGTTTATAATAAGTGTGGAAACTTTGGAAATACATACCTTGAAACATCTATTGAAATTTAAAAATTTTTAATACAGGGCAAGCAGTATCCATGGCCTTCCTGCAATCCTATATTGATGTGGCAGTTAAATTGAAAGGTATTATACTGTGCTATGCATGCTCATTTTTCTGATTCTGAGTTGTAGGTTTTTGTTAAACTGTGTCATACTAAAGATGTAGAAAACTACATAAAATTTCAGGTTATTAGGTTGTGTCACCAAGGTTAAATCAATAAATAAATTCAGAATATCAGAAATACCCAGAAGCATTCATTTTTATTATCTCATGGAACTGTGATTGGTAGAAACAAGAAAGCCTATGTATTAAACGTACTTCATCCCAGTTCCTCCTATTAAATACAGGAGCTAAAAATTTGACAGCTATGACCTAGTCTCATAGATTAACGGAACATGAAAGATGCCAGTGTTCTTGAAGCTATATATAGTTAAGCTCCTCATAATCTAGGCTATTTCTTAAAAGGCAAAATATTTTTATTTCATTTATTCTACAAAGCTTAATATGGTGGTAGGCAAGTAAGAATTCAAGGATTGGATTTTAAATCAAAATGTCTATGACACTGTTCCAGTAAAGACACAGGGAGAAATAGGGAGGCCTGTTAGTATGAGAAGGTAGTGATGGGTTAGGTGTGTGTAGTTTTATAGTCCTTTGAATAAAGCAGCGTATCATGTTTTGTGTCTGTAATGTGATTTTCTCCTACCCTGTTTATCTTGTAACTAGATCTGTTATGGTTAATAGCCTTATTCTTGGCTATTCTGGGAATGTTATTCACTATTTAGTTTTTGAGTTGTGTTTATACCATAAAAACAACCCAGGCCTTGCTTTCTTTTTTATTCAGTATGTTCCTTGTGAATAACAATCCTATTAGTAATTAGATGTCAGATAAATAAACTCTTCTGGAGTTCAGGGGTGGGACTTAATGTAAAAATACGTGGTACAAGTAACTATAGTGTTTTGTGTCTATACTGAAACCTATACAGGGTAAGCATCCCTTATCTGAAATACTTGGGAATATTTTGTATTTTCTCAGAATTTAGGATATTTGCATATATACAATGAGGTATCTTGGGATAGGACCCAAGTCTAATAAATACAGAGTTCATATATATATTTCATATACATACTATCCAGATGATATATTTATGAAGGTAATTTTATGTAGTATTTTTAATATACCTGGGTTTTAACTGTAATGAGGTTAGGTATAGAATTTTTCATTTGTGGTATTTAATGTTGACACTCAACAAGTTTCAGATTTTGAAGCACTTCGGATTTTGTGTTTTCAGATTAAGGATGCTCAACCTGTACTAAGACTTTGTGAATTAGGAAAATATTGTAGTACTTTGGACATTAGTCTTTCATGCTAACTGCCTGGGGAAAAGCTATTTTTCATGTCAGTTTAAGACAATGAAGAATTTTTTTGCTCAGTCACAAGGTGGCAGCAAATGTCAAATTTTTATACTTACATAGTATATGTAGCAAAGATAATCTGTTTTTTTCTTAAAATTGGGAATTCTGTTTGAAATTAATGCATCGATAAAGTATATGGATCTAATACTATAGACAGCTCAGAATAATAGACTATTCAGATTGAAATATAAGTAAATATTGAAATCATTTTATAGAAAATAAAATTTTTATATTACTTCAGTATAAGCAGCCTTATAACTTTTATTAACATGCATCAGTGTTCTTTTTCTAGATTTAAAAGTAACATCAGAGCATTCAGTTTTGTAGAGACAAAGTAATATCAATATTTTTAGCAGGGGTAGATGTGTTGAAAGTGCTTCTCAGACGGAAATAACTGGGTGTGTAATAGCACCACATTCCATGCTTAGATGGCATTGAAAGTGGTGGTCATGTGGACAGTCATGCTATATATTTCTTGATGACATAATTAAAGGATAGGAGAACTTTGTAAAGAAATGACTTAGCAGGTTTGATTTTTGGAAAGAATAAAGACTGCTCTTTGTTTAAATGCTCATATGATATTCAGGTATTGGTACATTTTTAAAAGTTTAAATTTGCTTATAAAGAAATATCAGTATACCTCCCATACATTGTCACTGAGTTGATACTATATAATGTGCTAAGCACCAGGAATCTCATGGTAACTTAGATGTTGTTTTTATTATCAGTGTTAGCACTAAATCTGAAGTGAAGAGTTATTGCCCCATGAGCTATAATCAAGAATATTTAAAATATAAAGATGAATTTTTGTTATTGAAAACTTTTGGCAGTAAAATAGTACATTTTACAATTTGCATCGTCAAGTTACACTTAAGAGTATATCCTAAACTGATATGGAGATTTCTTATTTGATCTAAACTAAGGTTTGTTTCTTATTAGAATTTATTTCTTTTGGTAGCTAGATTGTTAAGATTGAAAAAGAAGTAAATATTGAAACCATTTTACAGAAAAGAAATAAACATTTTAAAATAGTAACTCCCCTATAAGCAGCTTTATAACTTTTTATTATTGTTCTATTTTTTAATCTCATTTCACTCTGATTTATATATTCTAGAGAAGTTTAACATGTTTTATTATAGAAAAAGTAGGAGTTTCTGCATTGGATTCTATTCTGCATTGTTTTAAACTGAAAAGAAATGCAGTGTTTAACTGGGGATGGGTTTCTGAAGCCCTAGATGATTTTCACGTATGCCATTTATGCTCATTAAAGGTGCCAGTGCAAGGATTGGTATAAATGTTGAGAATAATGATGTGTGAAACAGACACAGTCCTTTCTTTCAAGGACCTCTCCTGGTAGAGAGAGACATTGATCAGATAACCTCGCGAATGAGTACACAGTCACACACAGAGATAAGGAAAGTAGCATAGTTTTGTGAGAGGATGTATCAGAGAAGGCTTGGAAGTAGACAAACTTCATGAGACAGACCTAACTGCAAAGCTGGGATGTGGGGAACTGTGCCAAGACAGGGTTGGGAGTGTGCTGACACCAGGACAGATGTGAGTTTTGAAAAGATAACTGGTGTTATTGTAGAGAAATTGAATTCAAGGAAGTGAACTAGAAACCTATTGTAGTTACTTAGTAGAAATGCGGCACAGGACTGGAAGTAAAGAGAAATGAACAGTAATCACAGATGTTTAAAATTTAAGGTAAAATTAAAAAGATATACTAATTGATTAGACATGGGAGCCCTAGGAATGAGGAGGCATGAAAAAGGATGATTTGTTTTCTGAGTTGCACAAGAGTAGCAGCCTTCACCAGTAGACCCAGGAAAGAAACCATGTTTGGTTTTAGACATTGTAATTCCATCGGGGATCAGAGAAGGTTATTAAGGATACACAGGTTTGAAACTTCAGGGAGGAGTTGGGGCCAAAGGTACAGACTGAGGATTCATTAGATTACTGATGGTTACTGACATTGTCTGGGAACTGAGTGTAGAGCAAGAAAGTTTAAGCAGAGCCTTGAAGAACTCCCAACTCCACTAACAGAAAACTCTCCAAAAAGGACTAAAAAGAGAAGCTAGAGAGGTAAGAAAAAAAGCTAATGGGGGCAAGGTGTAACAAAAAATCAGAAGAAAAGTCTTTCAGCAGAAATCTTTGATACTGAGAGGTTAAATAAAATAAGAGCAGGATAGGAAGATAATATTGAACATTCTGAGCAGATGGCTGCACTAATATGTATTTTTAAATGTGCATTTTTCTTTAATTCAGGCACGTCCACTATGCTTCTTACTAGAATAAACTGTGCAGACTGGTCTGGTGTATGTACTAAGCAAAATGTTACTGAATTTCCTGCTGTAAAGATGTACAAGAAGGGTGAGAATCCAGTATCTTATGCTGGTATGTTAGGAACCGAAGATCTCCTAAAGTTTATCCAGCTGTAAGTATTCAGCTTCACAGCAAAATTTCTAAATTTGGGGGTCTGTAGAGTTTCTAATTCTCATACTTTGTTCGTAAACTTTGAATAGGTGACAGAGTTTACTGGAATTGATCAGAGTAAATATTCATAAGAGTATGTATATTCAATCAGTTTTGGGAAAATAGTTATTTTGTTTAATGAAACTGGTTTTTAAAAAGTATTTAATTGTTTTTATTTTGTCAAAATTTATCTTGTATAATAAATTGATAAATTCAAATGTTTTTAGCAACTTGAAAAATTTATTTAAAAATTAATTTTTAATATAGTTATATATTCATCCAGCAACAGGATTTCGTGTCCAGTGAGCATAACATCTATCCAAGAAGTAGAAGAATATTTAAATGGGGAATTGTATGAAGACCTGGTCACTTATTCTAGTGTATCAGTACTGGGACTGTTTAGTCCAGCCATGACAACAGGTAAGTAGAGTTGAGCTTTTAAATTATAGAACGCATAGTTAAATACTCATTGCTTCCTAATCTTTCTTCTTTTTAAAAGAATTTAAAAAATATAGAGAATTATGAGGAAAAAATTAAACTGTAAATGCTGTTAAATTTTTAATGCCATTTCACCTTTTTTCTGTACACCTATATGTTAATTACATATTTGTATATGTTCAGTGTAATTGGGCTAAAACTGTGTTATTATTTTTTATTAAAACTCTGTTGCTATTTTTATTTTATTTAACATTACATTGGTATATTTTCCCTTTTGATTAATATTCTTCATAAACATCATAGCTATATAATATTTGATTGAATGAATACATACACACTACAATTTATTTACAAAGAGTATTTATGCTGTTCTTTTTTTCCCAAATGGGAAAAACATTTTTGAGTCTTTGTGTGAATTTTGGACTACTTAAATAAGTTCCCAGTAGAATAATTTTATATCTTTTGTAAATTTTGGCAGCACTACTCATTTTTTAAATGAGGTTTGAGTGTTTTGTTTAGTGAATTAGTGTGAGGTCTTCATAGGTTGGCATTTTAAGCTTTTGTCATTGTGTTCCAATGATTTTATTCCTAGCTTGTGTGCTTTTAACTTTGCTTAGTGATAATTTATATATAGCAGTATAAAATTTTGTTTTCGAGTCTATTGATTTTTAGATTTCTTCCATTGCTTTTAGCTATAAAAATCCTTAATCTGGTTAATTTATTCACCTATATTTTTGGCTTAGCATATATTTTCTTTAATTTATATCTTTTATTCTTGCTGTAAATATTTTTCTTTTTAAAAATTGTAGGAAAATACACATAACATTTATCTTAGCTGTTTTTGGGTGTGTAGTACACTGTGTCAAGTATTCACATTGTCGTGCAGCTAATCTCCAGAACTTTTTCATTTTGCAAAAGTGAAACGCTATATCCAGTAAACTACTCCACTCCATTTCCCTCTCTTCCAGCCCCTTATAACTTCCATTCTACTTTTAGTTTATGTGCACCTGTAGCATGTGTCAGAATTTCCTTTCATTATGAGTCTGAGTAATGTGCCACTGTGTATGCATACCACATTTTCTTCATCCATCACTGAATGTTTGGGATGCTTTTGTTTCTTGGCTATTGTGAATAAGGCTGATGTAAATATAAGTATATAAATATTTCTTTGGGACTTTGTTGTATTTTTTTTGGATATATTCTCAGAAGTGGAATTGTTGGATCATATGGTAATTCTGTTTTTAAGTTTTTGAGGAACCACAGTACTATGGTCTGTACTGCGCCATTTTATATTCCTACTCACAGTGTTCAGGGGATCCAATTCTCCAATGTTCTTGCCAGCATTTGTTATTTATTTATTTTTTGGTACCATAGCAGTGATCCTCATGGGTGTGAGGTGATATCTCACTGTAGTTTTAATTTGTATTCCCCTAAAGAGCATCTCTTCTCCTTTGTTTTCTTTCCTTTCTTTTTTTGTTTTCTGTGCTTGCATGTGCATTAACAGAGGTTGAACTCAAGGCCTTTGCACTGAGCTATATCCCTAGCCTTTTTTATGTTGAAAAAGGATCTTCCTAAGTTGTGAAGACTGGGCTCAAACTTGCGATCCTCCTGCCTTCCCCTGCCTGAATGCTAGGATTGCAAGTGTGTGTCACCACTCTTGTCTGAGTATAATTTCATTATGCTTGTTGGCTATTGGAATGTCTTTGGAGAAATGCTTACTCAAGTTCTTTGCTCATTTTTTTGAACAATTGGGTTGTTTGTTTTTTTTGTTGTTGAGTTACAGAAGTTTGTTATATATTCTGGATATTCATCAGACATTTGGTTTGCAAACATTTCCTCCCATTCTGTAGGTTGCCTTTTTACTTTGTGTCCTTTGATATATATTTTTTCTTTTTAAAAAGATTTTAAACTGGACCGGGGATTTAGCTCAGTGGTTGCGGCACCTGCCTCCTAAGCACAAGGTCCCGAGTTCGATCCCTGGTACCAACCCCCCCCCCCCAAAAAAAAAACCCAAAAAGATTTTAAACATTTAGATATTTTAGTTCATGATACATGTACCATGGTACATGAGGTTAGAGACCAACTTAATGTTTTCTAAATAGTTCATAATTATCATTTTTTTCTCTATTTCTCTGATTTCATTCTTGCCATGATATAAAACTACTAGTTTCTTGCCCTCTTTTTTTTTAACCTTTTATCTCTTCCAGGTGAACATTAGCCAGTTATATTTATGATCTTAACTCACTGGATGCCTGCTGCTTATTTTGTTTTACTAGTGTATGTTTAGGTTTTTATTTATTATAATTATTTTCTATATAGTGTATGCTTCTTGTATTTTCTGTGGGGCTAGAGATGTTTGTTAAAATTGTACCTGATCCTGGGCCAGGGATTTAGTTCAGTGGTTTCACCTCCTGCTGTGCAAGCACAGGGACCCGAGTTTGATCCCTGGTACCAAAAAAAAAAATGTACTTGATCCTATAAAATTAAAGACCATTTCAATGATTTTGACTGTCTTTTCTTTTTTTTTTTTTTTTTTTTTTTTTGGTGCTGGGGATTGAAATCGGGACCTTGCTCCTGAGAGGCAGGCAGCAGAACCACTGAACTAAATCCCCAGCCCTTGACTCTTCTTGAAAGACAAAGATGTTTTTAATTTCTTTTGTGGGTTTTTTTTTCCTCTGTATGAACTTCTTATTATGGACTCAGATTATCATTATTGATGGTCTTATTTTATTTTTTATTTTTTGGTACAGGAATTGAACTCGGGACCTTGCACTTGTGAGGCAGGTGGTGGAACCACTGAACTAAATCCCCGGCCCTCTTATTTTTATTTTTGCTTTGTATATTTCCCTTTCAAAAATCTTATATTTACTTTTCCAACATTTTAAACATGCAGCAAAGTTAAAAGAATTTTTCAGTGAACATCTGTAAAACCAGCACTTATCCATTTCACCAATGCTGTGTATTCCTGTACATCAGTCCATCTGTGAATCTATCTTCTGGACATACCTGTACCTCTGTTCTTCTATTAATTAATTAATTAAGTAATTAATTTTTGGTACCAGAGACTGAACTTGGGACCTTGCGCTTGCAAGGCAGGCGCCGGAGCCACCGAGCTAAATCCCTGGCCCAATTTATATATGTATATTTTTTAGTACTGAGGATCGAACCCGGGTCCTTGTGCTTGCACAGCAGGTGGCAAAACCACTGAGCTAAGTCCCCGGCCCAATTTATATTATTTTTGATGAATTTCAAATGAATGTTTTTGGATTCAATTTTGACACAATGCTCATGGCAATTATTTTTACTTTAATAGTTTTCCATAGCATCATAAACTATTTTTTTAAGCATCACAACTTCTCTGTTCTTACACTCTGCCTCGTTATCTCTTGCTTCATAGAAATGACTATTTTTTTAAGCATCACAACTTCTCTGTTCTTACACTCTGCCTCTTTATCTCTTGCTTCATAGAAATGTGTCTTTCAGTAAGTGTTCAAGGAAAGGTACATGCAAGGTATTTTTTTCTGACCAATACTAATTCTGAGAATATTACTTGTTGCCTTTGAATGTGGTGGCCTCTGGGATGGGTAACAAAACCCTAATGTTTTCTTCACTGTGCTAACTCTGACCATTTATCTAGCAAACTTCCCCCTTCTCATTTTTCTTTCCTTTGGGATGAATTTCAAATTCTGAATAAAATCTGTAAGAATATTTTAGGGAAAGAAGAAGGGCCCCTCATCTTTTCCCCCCTCATCTTGAGTTATATTTGTACATAGTAAATACTGTTAACTACTTATTAAATTTCGCTTTCTACCAGTTTATACTTAGTATTCATGTTACTTAAAAAAATCTTTAAAAATAAAAGCCAAAGGAACTAATTAAAAAGAAGTGGCTTACCATCTTAGCAAGCAGAATCTTAGAGGGCAGAGCTTTGTAATGTGCATTCTTTTATGAAAAATGATGAAGTCAGTGAGTTTGTGTCTTAATTCTTCCCTTTCTAATGTTCTTGCTCCTGTTGTTGACTTTGACTTTTATGTACTTTATGTGCTGGGGACCCTGAAGTTTTCATTTATTATTTACACTAGGCCTCCTTCCAAGAAGAATTTAAGTCTTCAGACGATAAAAAGCACAAATACAATAAAACCATTAAAAGAAGGAGAAGAACTGGTGCAATAAAACAGTAGGGATAATTATGTAGGAAGTCCAGAAAAGACTGCAGTTGGTCAGAATTTAGCCGGAAGTAATCTGGTACCAACTAGAAATGGAAAAATGAAATTTTTGCTGTCTTATCATTTTATAATAAATAGTAACAACAGGTTAAAAATCTACAAAGAAAATGTTTTCCTAATTTGTAACTAATGGAAGGAATGTTTCATACTATTTTTTATATAGGAGATCAACATAAGAAACAGGAAACTTAATCATATTTCTACTCAAAAATGTAAGACTGAATTATTTAGAAGTAGTTCTGGTGTGCCAAAGTGACATGCTCTGGATATGATTCTTTTTTAATGATCTCATTGGATTGATTATTCTCAGCCTTTTCAGGGAGGTGCTTATTCCTTTTTATTTCTTTGAGGTCTGTTTTTATTTTTTTGGCAGACATTTACCTGATAGTATTGGACTTTCAACACCTCTTGAATGAAAGGCTGTTTAATGGTAAAAGGCTGTTATGAATTCATTAACACTTGTTATAAAGGTGTGTTTTACTAATGCAAGCTAACTTCTAACATTTATTGAGCACCTCTTTTGTATCAGATGTTGATTTATCATTCATTTAGATTCATTCTAATGGTTTGAAGATTTACAGTGTGAGGTCCAAGAGGGCAGAAATATCTCTTTTACTTATATATCTGCCAGAAAGTTACTATTTCTTCCATTGTAATTAATAAGCATCCTGTGGTAGAGAATTTTAAAACTCTGTGAAAGTGCTGTTTGTCATCATACTTTTGTACTACACACCAGTTTTAGGATCTATTGCCTAAAAAAAGCTGTTACTGCCATGGATGCAGTCTTAGTCACTTTCCTTGTCCCTGAGACAAAATATCTGACACCCACAACTTAAAGGAGAAGAGACTTATTTATGCTCACATTTTAGAAGTCTCCGTCCTTGCATGGTTGGCAGCATGCTGGAAAGGTCGGGTGGAGGAATGCCACTCACCTCATGGCAGCCAGGAAGCAGAGCTGGAAGGGAAGGGCCAGGGAGGGAGAGGAACCCCACCACATCACCCCCATGGTGATTCCTTGTTTCATCCAGGCCAGCTGTGGCACCCCCATAACCCTTTTACCTTCCAGAAGCCCCTGGCTCTGAGGCAGGGAGGAAGACATCTCGATATAAACCGTAACAGCTGCCAACTAGATTATTTTCTAATTTCACTATGCCTTCATTTATTAATTGGTATCTTACTATAAAACAGAATTTTTCTCATGTTTATCAGTTACAGACTCTTGAATTTTTAATTCTTTCGTTTTTATTTTTTGTGGTACTGGCATTGAACTCAGGACCTTCACATTGAATAACATCCCTAGCTCTTTTAAAATTTATTTTTTATTTTTAAACAGAGTCTTCGCAAGTAGTTAAATTGTTCAGGCTGGTCTCAGATTTGTGATCTTCCTGCCTCAGCCTCCCAGAGTGCTGGGATTACAGGCATGCACCACATGACTGGTGTGGCTTCTTATTTTCTTCAATGGGTTATAGTTAGTTGTTATCATTATTTTACTCAAATTGCTCCTGACTGGGTCCCTGGGAGTCCATTCAGTCTGACTTCTGTCCTTTTGACATGTTTCCACCATTCTTTAAATTTATTCTCTTGGTACAAGTTATTTTCAAGGAATCAGCCATTTCTCCAAGAAGTCCAGGTTCCTTTTAGTAGGAAATTGAATTTGGAAACCAAAATCTAGGGGTTAAGAGTACTTTTAGTTAGTTACTGGCATGTTTTGTTTCTCAGTTCTCTGCTGACACAGAATTGTCACATGTACATACATATGGGTGAGTCTAAATGCATTAATTAGTTATATGTGATAGTGGAAATGCAGTATTGCTAAATGAACATATTTATGTAATTACATAATTATGGTTAATTTTTTTTTTCTGGGGATTGAATCCAGGGCCTTGTGCATACTAGGCAGGTGCTCTATCACTAAGCTACGCCCCTAGTCCCTTTTTTGTTTTGGCTTTGAGATAAGGTTTGGGAGAGGCAGGAGCAGTCTCATTATGTCACCCAGGCTAGTTCTAAACTACCTGACTGAAGTAACCCTCCTGCCTCAGTCTCCTGAGTAGCTGGAACTGTAGGCGTTCTAAGTCATCATTTATATCCATCCCCAGTATATTTATAGAAGCAAAAATACTATATCTTTTTATTTAGATAATTGAGTTCTTTTATTTAAGGTTGTTATATATTCTGACAGTATACAGTTTTCACCATGGAAGTGAAGAATATGCCTGGTTTTGGATGTTTGGAGGAAAATACACACTGATTTAGTGGAAATGAGTGTACATGTGAGGCCTGCAGCATTACACTTTCCCATCCCACGAGTCACTTAGGAAATACTGGAGAGGATTCATGAAGAAGCATATTCATGAGTAGAGAGGCTTCCATATGAGGAAATTATATAGGAATATTAGTATTTTTTCCACTGCTGCTTATCAAAAAAGAAGAGACGCTAACACACATTCCATTATGTCATTGATTTGGAATTCATCTCTGTTTTTCCTTAGGAGTGAAAGTGTAGGCATTCTGTTCTTTTTTTTTAGTTGCTTATTTTCTTATGAGTCTTTTCTACTTTGGTAATCACAGGCTAAAAATACTTTCAATGGGTTATCAGTTTCTCATTAAATTTACGATTATAAATGAGCTCAAATGCTGCCTGTGGGCTGACTGAGTCACTGGTAAGTTTGCTTTCCTCTAGACCATGCTTCTTAATCCTGTGGAAAGTATACTCCCTTTAAGAGGTGAAACTTTGTGGTTACCTGATGAAGATGGTGATGATGCTATACCAGGACACAGTGCTAGTGGCTGTGGTTTCAGTGTGCCCACCTCTGCTGCTTTAAGGCTGACTCCTTTCATTGATGTTTTTCTGCTTGACCTGCTGTTAATCTCATCCTTGGAGCTGAGCTCCTGGTTGGCCTTCATGTGGCAAGACTACTTCATTTACCCATAAATCCCTCTGCTCTTTTCTCATTAATATACAGTGATTTAATTTGAATTTGCTTCTAGGTTATAAGATAGTCCTTCACATGACCTACCATAGTCTGTCATTGATGAAAATGTACTGTATTCAGAAAGCTACAGAAATAATAGCTTTAACTTTGAATGTGTGTATCATAACAAAGAAAAAGGATGGATACACGTTAGTCATTGTTCAGAAGTAACAAAAATACATTACAGAAAATACAAGAAATAAGACACAAGCTCTTCATAATTGAAGAACCTAACACAAACACTATTTAAAAGACTAGAATATTTGGTCTTTTTTTCTTTTTTTGCCTATAGGCATTTTTACATTTTGTAACATTAATACATAGCATTTTACAGCTGTCTCTATTTATCCTTGCTAAGGAGTAAATTAAAAAATAACATATTTATTCAGTCACAGTATGACTAGAGTGCTATAAACTTTATAAATCACTTTTAGAGTACATTTATTTAGGAAGCCTTTTTACATCAATTTACATTTCTTTCATAATCTGTTGTCATAAAACATGTATTTTAGAACTGTTCAGATTGTGATATAATGTGTCTATACTTAAATGTTTATCTTTGTAATTAATAACAGTGCTGCCATCTATAAATCTGTTCATCAGTTGATAATTAATGGTTTCAGAGTTTGTCATGTCTGTATTTATAGCAAAAGAAGATTTCACTGAAGCAGGAAACTACTTAAAAGGATGTGTCCTCACTGGCATTTATTCTGAAGAAGATGTTTGGATACTGTAAGTTTATTGCTCTTCTAATTCGAAGGAGGATGAAGCTAGGCAGTATAATGTATGGATTGTCTTTACAGCTGATTTAGGAAGACAGAGCCGCAACATAAATAAATGTTTAATTTTCTTTTAGGAAGATCTGAGAAGTGCTAATTTTAATTTCTTTAAATATTCTTTTACTTTGGGCCAAAGTACTTACAGGGATAATCTTGGATTCATAATTCTTCATTCTCCTATAAAAATTTTCCTCTTTGGGTTCTATTACCTGCACTTTTAGTGGCGCTGTGATAGTTTTTGAAAAAGCATCACAGTTTATATTTGCTACCAAAGCATATGTATACAAAAATCAGCACTTTTTAAGCTACTTAAGTTGCTTTGTGGAAGGTGGGGTGCCTGTGAGTACCACACTACTTTAGTTGCTGCAGAATGCAGGACTGGACTGCAAATTTGGAGACTGGTCTTAATACATAAAACATCCTGCATTAGAGGCTCGTTTTCACATACAAGTGGACTTGTTAAGCTCCAGGAGTTTTTCTTACCTTCTGACTATCCTATTCCTAATTGTGATTTCTGAGTTGAAATCTCTCACCTTGAACACTGCTCTTGACGATGAGGCTTTTTTCATTTGGTGAAATCAGTCAATTTTGAAAACTTACTAAACTTGTAAATACAAGATCTAGCCATTTGACAAAGTATAATCACCTGTTATTTTCTACTGTCACTGTGTATTTAACTATGGTCCAAAGAGCCAGACTGGTAGATTTCAGAGTGTTTTGTTTATAACCAGCTGGCCAACTAAGAGGCTCCCCTAGGTGATAAAAAGACTGGGCTCACTGCTGACCGTTACACTATTTTAATGCCAATACTCTGGCAGAAGCAAAGTTTTTACACATGTCCCCACTTTGTTGGTAATTTCACACAAGCCATCTTTTTCTATTTAATTCAAGGCATTTTGTTTGAGATTTATTTAGCAAAAGTGGTGGGAGGGTGGATGTGGGGTCTTACCTCAGTAGAGAGAGCACATACTCTCTGTCTGGACACCTCATTTGAGTTCAGAAGTGTTTCTGCATCTGTAAAATGGAACAGTGGAGGCGACTTCATAGGGTCAGAGGAAACATAACTAAGACAGCTAGTATAGGACCTGGTAGTTAGAGAGTTTCTCCTAGGTGTCCATCTTCTTAACTCCAAGAAGGTTGACCCTGGAGTTGTTCAAATCCTATTTAGACACATTCTTGATGAATAAGTTGTAGGACAGAATAAAATCTGTCTAGACTGTTTTCTGTTGCTTTCTTTTACTCTAGGTTGTCAAGGCTCCTGAACTTCCTCAGCCTTGCTTAGAAGATAATTTGCCTGGAAAATGAGTTAATTTTTTTCCACTAGCAGTAGGCTTTTCAGATGCTGTGACTTTTTGGACTAATTTTTCATGTTTCTGATGACTTGCTTTATTTTGGTTGTGAATTTTAATCCTACATTTCTCCACAGGGCAAATAAACATGCTGCAACTCTTCCAGCCCTGCTGCTTGCCAAACACAAAGACGGCAAGATAGAGAGCATTCCACTAGCTGGCACCCCCGCGCAAGACATAGTGCAGATAATAACAAATGCATTACAGGAAACATTTGTGAGTATGGTCTATAAAAAGGATGGTAATCTGAAATAAAACCTTAATCAACTAGTACACAGTTTTGGCCTTTGGTGGCCCAGGGCGTCCTGCTCCATGGGTGAAGGCTCATTGGGTTGCTCTGCTTGGCTGTTCACTGATGCTGCAGCCAGCTTCTAGCCCGTGCCACACATTTGCATGTGTTGCCAAGACCAGTGTGGCTGAAGTTCAGTTCAAGTACTTAATCTAGGGTGAAACTTGTCATAAAGCAAGTGTATTGCAGAAGGTCAGGCCGCCTGGCTCTGGATCCTTGCATAATTCCTTACTGGCTGTGCAGTACCTTTCTGTTCCTGAGTTTCCACATGTGTAAAATGTAGGTCATAGTAGCACCCACTGCAAAGAATTATTATGAGGCCCAAAGAAGGTGTGATGTGCACAGTGCTTTGTGTATAGCGTTTGGCCCATAGTAAATATTCAACAAATGTGAGCTAGCATTATTTATATACTGTATTTTAAAATTCTGTCTAATGAAAAGCCTTTTCTAATGCTTTATATAATAGTGGATTCAAGGGCACAACAGATTCAACCTAGATTGTGTTATTCAGTTTTATTAAACACAGCTAGAATATTATAAATTTGTACTTCTATACTTCTAAAGTGACACAGGGTACACTATTATCAGCTATAAATGTTGAATGAATATCCTCCTTTAGTATATTTCTAGTCTTGATCTGAGTGTCAGTACATTCAGGGCTCAAATGAATGAGAAGAGTCTTGAATAAGTCTCTTTGTAATCTTGATTCTGTCCCCTCTCTTCCTCTATCAGTGTCACAGGTTATAGTTAATCGAATTGTTGTGTTAATATTTTCAGGATGTAGTTTTCTAAATTATTTACTACACTAACTCTTTCTTCCTGTTGTACTGGAGCTTGAAGCCATGGCCTTCACACTGAGCTATGTCCTCAGTTCTTTTTTATTTTTTATTTTGAGACAGAGTCTTGCTAAGTCTTTAAATTGCTCAGACTGGGGTCAAACAGGCAATATTCCTGTCTCAGCCTTCCAGAATACTGAGATTACAGTGGTGGTGTGTACCACCATGCATAGCTAACCTTGTTTTTAATGACACTATTAGGTAAATATTCCCTTAACATAAACATAGTGTAGTAATAGAATTTTTCTCAGATAATACAGAAAAATGATAAAAGTAAAATCAACCATAATTTCTTAAAATTTAAATTTGGGAATATATTTCCCCAAACTTAAAGAAATTGATATGTGTCATTTTATATTAACGGTATTTTTAAAAGGAATATATATATATATATATGTGTGTGTGTGTGTGTATGTATCCATATTGGCTTTTAATAGCTGCATAATACTCTGTTGTACTAATGGTTTGTAATTTAATCAATTTCCTCCTGATAGGTAGTTGCCTTTTAAATGTCTTGCTCTTACTTTCCTGATAGATACAGGAATGAGCAGTGCCCACCACTGATCTTTTATAAATTCATATTCCAGTTAGTCGTCTTTCTGAAAACAGTGTTACCCACATCACCAGTATGTTACAAAGGTCTTGTCCATATTCCCACAAGCTAGTGAGGTTGTCAAAGCCTTGCCCATCTGGTCTCCCAGCCCTCTACTTGGTCATGATATTATCCATATCTGAAAGACCCCTGATCAACCTCATTCTGGAAAGATGATATTCTTTATACAAGGCCCAGCTCAAATATCACTTCCCAAAATGACTCATGATTTCCCTTACCTTATTTTTTTAGCAAGTCACTCTGTCTGTGTGTTTGCTCATTTGACAGCTAGGGCTTTTTTTTTTTTTTTTAGCATTTGTTTTTTTTGGTACAGGAATCGAACTTGGATCCTTGTGCTTGCACAGCAGGCAGCAAAACCACTGAGCTAAATCCCTGGCTTTTTTTTTTTTAAAGCTAGGCCTTGTTTTTTAATCTGGTAGGGGATGGTTTGTCAGCTCACAGGTATATCCACAGGATGAAAAAGTAGATGTGGAACTAAATTTGGAAAGTAGTAGGCTTTGTTATTGTATGTCATTGCTGTTTTAAATCCTAAATATTACTAGCACTGTTTGTTGCTCTTTTTGATTCTTAGTACTAACAGCCTAGATAGTCTTCTGCAAATATATATATATATTTTTTTCCATTAAACTTTTTTAATTAGCTGCCAACTCTTTTTTTTTTAAATTAAATTCTTTTATTGGTACATTGTAGGTATACAACACAATTACATTTCTCATTGGGAATTGTACCTTTACATAATGCATCTTGGTTCTTATTTTTTCCCCATTCCTAGCCCTCCCTTCACCCCCTCCACCCTTCCCTATTTACAAAGACTTTATTTCCATTTCTCATCATTTTTCCTTTCCCTTCTTTACTTTCCCCTGCCCCTCCCACTACCCCTACCCCTTTGGACCTTTTCTTCCTATTTTGCATTATCGATTATTCATTCTAATAATTGGTACATTTTAGGTATACAATATAATGACATTCATCATTGGAAATGCAAATATATTTTTTCATAGTTACTATTTTTGTATTAATAATAAAATGATAAAAAGATTAGATTTCTAATTCCTTGTTAAATTTCTTTCAGTTATTTTAACCTCAAAACAAATGGGATTGGGCCGGGGATTTAGCTCAGTGGTTTTGCTGCCTGCTGCGCAAGTGCAAGGACCCGAGTTCGATCCCCAGTATCAATAAATAGATAGATAGATAGATAGATAGATAGATAGATAGATAGAAATGGGATTGGCTTTAGTGTGTTTTTATTTTAATTATGCCAACATATCTACGATGTTGGAAAAAGTAAAATTTAATTAATTTTTAAATAATCATAGAACTATTAAAAGAAAAATTACATATTTTTAAGAAAAATTGTTTAAAAAATCTGCTTATGTTTTTACTCTAATTTTATTACAGTAAACATATAACAAGATTTTTGTTTGTCATGTATATGTTTGCTAATCTAGTCTAGATTTTAGCATAAGTTAGTAGGAACATTAATTTATTCTCAAAATGTATTCAAAAACTCATTGAGATGAGGTGGGATTGAATAAGAAATTATTGAGATTTATAGTCATTAGCATGGTAAATCTACGTAAATGGAAACATATTTGAATTATATTTTACGATCTCAAATGGCATGCATGATTTGAATGTTGTTTGCTACTTTGTACATCATAATTTCCATGTTTTTTTGTTTGTTTTCTTTTTCTTTCTTTTTTTTGTTTGGTTTGCTTTGGTTTGGTCCTTCTCTTAAAACAGCCAGAAATCACCGTGGAAAATCTTCCCACTTATTTTAAACCTCAGAAACCATTACTTATTTTGTTCAGTGATGGTAGCATAAATCCTCAGCATAGAGAAGCAATATTGACTCTAGTGGCGCAGAAACACTTGGATTCATTTACTCCTTGCTGGCTAAATCTGTAAGTCTGTTTTACTTTTTCTCATATGTAAGAGGCAGAGAAAGTATAATTATTATTATATTTTTGTTAGGAAATGAAACTCTATAATTCTTCTTTTTTTTTCCTTGATACCAGGGAACAAACTCGGAACCTTGCGCTTGCGAGGCAGGTGGAGGTGCCACTGAGCTAAATCCCTGGCCCCGAAACTCTATAATTCTATGTTAGGAGTTACTATGAAATCAAATATGTTATCATGATATTTTAGTGACAAAATTCCTACAGACAAGGTCCAAGGTGACCTTGCTTTGGATTGCATCTTATTCTACAATAAAAATTTAAAAGCAATACTTTTTCTAATTTTTGAAAATTACAAAAATAGGGCAGTATATAGTTTGCTTGAAGTTTTATTAACAGTACACCGTACTGCTTGAGGCACAGTTTTCCAAGGTAATCATCATGTGTAGGTTATCTAATAGTGGTATTTTGTGTAATGTGGAATGTGCTCCATTAGGAAAACTGGGTATCTTTAATTGGTTTCTTTGTGGGAACATAATTATTTTTCATGTCTTTAATTTGACAAGAATCTCTTCTTTTTCCTGAGAAAAGGTACAACTTTATTTGGAAAAGAAGTATTTATGTATCTTATGATAGGTGTATAACCAATTTGTTTTTGAGCTGACATGTGAAAAGATACTTCATTAAGCTTTGGAAGGACTGATAGCTTATCTCAGACCTGTGTTGAGAAGCCTTTGGGCTATGTGTACTATTGATAAAAACAGCTAGGGGCTACCTTGTTTTCTCCTAGGACAAAGAGTGCCCATATTAAAAAAACTTTTTAAGAATCAGCTTACTAACAATATAGTCATAGAGTTTTTAGGATGTCTTTTCATAACAGACTTACTGACATGAGAGTAAAAGTTTAATGTTCCATAAAGTGTTATTTTCATTGTATAGTTAGAGAAAGATCTACTAATTAATATGTTCAATTTTTTTCCTCTCATAGCAAGAATACTCCTGTGGGGAGAGGAATCTTGCAGGTATATTTCGGTCTTCTGCCTCCCCTTCCTCTTCTGGTTTTGGTGAATCAGCATTCAGGTGGCCATGTATTTGCATTTCCTTCAGACCAGTCTATAACTGAACAAAACCTTGCATTGTGGCTTAAGAAATTAGAAGCAGGACTAGAAAACCATATCAGTAAGTTTTCTCTTAAAACACACAATTTTGCATTTTGTTGCATAGATTTAAAATTTTAATTATAGCTAATAAATGCTAGGAGTTAATTGTAATATTTATAAGTATCCTAAATATTAATATGTTGAGAACGTTGTCCATTATGGTATTGTGTGGGCCTAAAGGGCAAGGATTCAGTTGGGGACAGTTGGCTCACCTACTAAACAGTCAAGTTGTCTATGAGGCCTCTTTCTTCTCTTGAATTTTAATTCCTTAAATCCATATTGCTTCTATAGGTTGTCAGTATCTTCAAACATGCAATTTTTGTAGTTTATCCAGTATAAAAAGTTGTTATAGTGGAAACATTGACCTACTGAAGCATGAGTCCTTCATGCTACTGTTAGAAAGCTTAAAATTATATATGTCACAAGATAGTTCTCAGGTCGCTTTTTTTTTTTTTTTTTTGGTACAGGGGATCGAACTCAGGACCTTGTGCTTGCGAGGCAGGCGTGGTGCCACTGAGCCAAATCCCCGGCCCCTCAGGTCGCTTCTTATATATACATGCCAGTTTTTTTCCATTAACTATAAGCAAATACATTGTTTTGTAGAAAGTGAAAACATTTTATATAAAATTGGTTCTAAGTATCCTAAAAATGAGTATCTCCAACTGAACCTCCATCTTAGTTTCTCCCTCAGCATTTATTATTATTGCTTTTGTTGATCAGTGGGGTTGGCCTTCACGTTTTAGGCCAGGTACTTCATAGAAAGTTACTGGTGGAATGAAAATAATAATATTTATTGAGCATGTGCTCTTTTCTAGGAATGGTGCTAAATATATTTCAGGGATTATCTCATTTAGTCTCACAACAACCCAAGAGTTCTGGATGTTGTTCATTATATTCTTTTTTTTTTTTTCAGATGAAAAAATTGAGACAGAATGAGGTTAAGTAATTTGTAAGAGGTTATTCAGCTAATGAATACCAGGGACAGGAGTAGGCATTCGTATTTAACAGTCTAAGTCCAGAGCCCTACTCTGAACCACATTGCCTAATCTACCTGTGTTAGCTTGTAAACAGTTTAAAGCAGGGAAGGTTTATTTTCATTCACTGCTGCAGAGGCTCATGGTCCACGGTCACTAGTCCATGGTCCACTAGCTCCTTGGGCCTGTAGTGAGGCAGAACATCATGACAGAAGTGCATGGTAGAGTGAAGCTGCTTAGCTCATGACAGCTGAAAAACAGAGAAAGAGCCAGGAAGGAACAAACCAGGGACAAAATACAGTCCCCAACATCATGCCTCTGTGACCCACTCTTAACTTCCTAGTAATGCCATCAAATTATGTATGCTATTTTGGCTTGTGTTTAGATGTCTCCCCCAAAGCCTAATGCACTCATAAGTGGGGCTTTTCAGTGGTGGCTGGATCAGTAGTGTGTCAATATGGATTAAGCATGTGATAACTAAATCAGCCCACTGATTGGTGTAGCATAGTTCTAGGTTCATAGGTATGGATAATGGAAAGGCCCACCCTGGGTGTGGATGGCATCATCCAGTAGGCTTGTAGCCTGGATGGGATAAAAGTCCAGAAGGCTTGCTGCTTCCTGCTTGCCATGCGATGGACTGTTTCTCCTCTACAATGCCTCTTTGCCATGCTAGCCTGCCTTGGAGCCAGTGCACTAGGGATTGAAACCGCTACAAACTGTGAGCTAAAATAAACTTTTCTTCCTTTAATTTGTGAATGTATTGGGTATTTTGTCTCCACAACAAGAAAAGTAAGACACATTTATCACTGTATTGCTTAATCCATTCACCCACTCGTGGAGATAGAGCCCTCATGATCCATCATGAGTCCAACAGCCCACTTCTGAATATGAGGCTTTTGGGGGACATTTAGATCTAAACTGTAACATTATCAAATGTGTAATTTTGATTTTTTTAAAAATTGACTTTCTATACCAAGTAATTGAAATAGTGTGTGTGGTCACCAGTACTGTCAGGGGATAACCAAGTTTGCAGTGATTTTATTTCAAATATATAGGTATTCTGTCTAATCTATACACATAAATATTTGAGGGAAGCATTTCTGTTTAATGAAATAGTATTCTCATAAGTATTATTTTATATTTAACTTGAATAATTATAAGGACCGCTAACAGTTTTATTATTTTATATAATCCACACACAAAGCCTTTGTGGTGGGTATTACCCACAGAAAATAACTTCCACTCTATTAATAAATTTAATAAGAGCTAACATTTCTAAAATGCTTACAAGGTGTCTACCGCATTGCTAAGTGACTTATCATTAACTATCATTTCATTCTCACAAGAATCATGAAAAATTACCCATAGAAGAGTGAAGTAACTATTCAAAGTAATAATTAACCAGCAAATGAGAAAGCTTGGATTCCAGCCTGTTTTACTCTAGAGCCAAAAGTTTTAATTGTCAAATAAGAAACTATATATTTATGTGGTACAGCATGATGTTTTGATATATGTACACATTGTGGAAAGATTAAATCAAGCTAATTAACATACCTGTCAGATGCTCATCATTTCCTTGTGATGAGAACTTTTCAAATCTACTCTGGGGTCGGGGATTTAGCTCAGTGGTTCTGGCGCCTGCTGTGTAAGTGCAAGGTGCCGAGTTCAATCTCCAGTACCAAAAAAAAAATTACTCGGCTAAAATTGTTCACCTGTGTAATACATTATTATTTATTGTAGTCACCATGCTACACAACAGATTTCCAGAACTTATTTCTCCTGTCTAACCAACTTCATATTCTTGTACCAACATCTCCCTCTATTCCTGCCGTGCAACCGCCATTTTACTCTGCTTCTTTGAGTCTGGTTATTTTAGATTTTACATCTTTATGAGTGAGATCATGTGGCATTTGTCTTTTTGTGCCTGGCTTATTTTACTAAACATAATATCCTTTCGATTCATTCATAGTGCTGCAAATGATAGTCTTTTCCTTCTTTTTTAAGGCCAAATAGCATTCTTTTATAGACATGTACCACAACCCCGGTATCCATTCATCCTTTGATGGATACAGGTTGATTTCCTGTTTTGGCTATTAATAATGGGGCAGTGGGGGGGCCGGGATTTAGCTCATCGTTGCCGCACCTACAAGTACACAGTCCTGAGTTCAATCCCTGGTACCAAGAAAAAAAATGGGGCAATGAACTTGGAGTGCGTATGTCTCTTTGACATACTGATTTTTAATGCCTTTGCACATGTACCCAGAAGTGGAATTGCTGGATCATATAGTAGGTCTAGTTTTTAATTTTTTAAAGAACTTCCATACTATTTCCCATAATTTTACTAATTTACATTCTTTTCCACAGTATAAAAGAATTCCCTTTTATCCACATCCTTACTAACACTTACTTTTTGTCTTTTTCGTAAGGTATGACAATTCATTGTGGAAAAGTGTTCAAATCCTTTGCCCATGTTTTAGTTGGGTTATTTTTTTTCTTGCTCTTGAGTTGCAAAAATCAATTTTGAGAAGCTCTTTCTGTTTTCTTCTAGTAGTTTAAATCTTTAATCTATTTTGGGTTGATTTTTTTTTTGTAGATGGGGTGTAGTAAGTATCTAATTTCATTCTTTTAAATGTTGTTAGAATATGCATTGAACCCAGTGCCGCACTGAAGAGATCTTCCTTTCTCCGTTGTATGTTTTTGGTACTTTTGTTGAAGATGAGTCAAGATTAAATTACTGGATTTTTTTTTTGGTCTCTCTCTCATTCAGTTGGAATGAATGTTGGCCCACAACTTGTTAGTTTTAAAAAATAACATTACAGGGCCGGGGATTTAGCTCAGTGATTTCACTGCCTGCTGCGCAAGTGCAAGGACCCAAGTTCGATCCCCGGTACCAAAAAAACCCCCAAAAAGCTAACAAGTTGACAGGGTTAATTGGCAGTAAAATGATAGATCCTTTTTTCCTCTATCAATATTTATCTCTATGTAGAAAATAACTTGTAATGTAAAAAAAATAGCTATACTGATAAATTTTTAAGATTTTTATTGGTACATGTTTACAGAACATAATGATTATACTCCTTGTGGGGAGTTGGGACAAATATATCTTGTTTTTTAATGATACTGAAAATACCTAGCTTTGCTTAGAGAAGTAAAACTAAAATCTTCATGCCTACAAATATATATTTCAAAATAAAACATTTCTAGTATATTCTTGTGGTAATTTTATAGGTGTTAATTATTAACCATTGGTTGTGTCTTCCAGCAATTTTATCTGCTCAGGAATGGAAACCTCCTCTTCCTGCTTACAACTTTCTAAGTATGATGGATGCTGCCACATCTCAACATGCCACTGGGAAAGCTCCTGGGCGTATGAAAGAAATAGATGTGCAGGAGAATGATAAGGAGCGACACGAAGATAAACTGACAGTCAAAAAAGAACCAGTTGAAACACTGAGAATAAAGCATTGGAATAGAAATAATTGGTTTAAAGAAACAGAAAAATCTCTTAAGCCTCATACAGAGTTATGAAGCTCAAAAGTGAGCTGATTTCTTGGGGCTGTAATTTGAGATGAAATTTATTTTTAAAATGTATTTCATCTACTCAGTATACCCCAACTAGCTTAATTAATATAAAAATTATCGAAACAGTTTCTTTCCTTTTTTTTTATATCAACTCCTCAAAATGCAGGCACATTTTACACTTTGTACCATATCTCAATATAGGGTAGCCGTATTTCAGTTGCTCACTGCCCACATGTGGTATGTGACTGTCATATTAGAAAGCTCAGTGCCACACAGAAACTAGTATAATTAATTTAACTTATAATTATGCTACATACGTATATATAACATCAAAGTAATGGCCTAGTACTGGTTATTGAATAACCCGATGATTCAGATACCTCTCCTAGAGTTGATTAATGTTCTAACACTTTATGGGTGTAAGCAGTGATTTCACATTCTCTTAGAATATGTCTTTTTTTTCTTACTAAGCTATGATAATGGAAGCTTACTCAAGGTTTCATTTGGATAACCTAGCGTCAACTTTTGACATAGGCCTAAAGAGCTGTAAAAAACATGCGGAATCTGGAGTCAAGTGAAATACTCCAGACAGCCCTTGACTTAGAATGGGGAAAATTTCACGTCACACTTTTAATCACATAAAACACTCACTTCCTCTGACATTAAATGCAACCTGAATTTTCTGTTTCTCATGTGGATATCTTGTACATTTATGAAGGCTACTTTTGAAGAATTAATTCTCATGTTAAACTTACTTCCTTGTTTGAGAAACAGCATAATGAGCTACCCCATTCTTGGTGTCATGAAGTTCCTTCTGAATGTCTGGTTTATTATACTGAAAGTAAAATACAAACAGTAAATCCCTACTTAGATGTTATAAGAAGCTAAGATCGTTATTCCTAAAAATACTTTGCTGGGGGCGTGGTTATTGTCTAATAAAAGTTAATAAAAGTGTAGTTCAGAGAAATATTTGTTTGGTAAGCAGAATAGAACACCAGCATATTCAGAAGCATTTGGGAACTGAAGTGTAGCATGCTGAGTATAGAGAAGGGACTTGGAATTCAGAAGAATCTTTGAGTCTCCAACCTCTAGCCATGTGATAATTTATTTAAAATTTTACAACTTAATTTGTTCATTGGTGAAAATATTGCTCACCACAGTGTTGAGGCTTAAACAGGCATGCATTAGATAATTGTCACCTTAAAGATTGATTACTTTGTAGGAAAAATTTTCGTATTTTCAGTGATAAATTCTGATAATAGAAATTAGAAATATATTTACAATACGGAGATAGGTATAAAAATGCAATAACTAGTTTCACTTCTCTCCAGCTCCAATTACAGAGTCAAATGGTACCAATTTGGTTTCCATTTGACCTTTTAAATATTTCACTTCTTTTTTTGGAGTTCATGATACCTATATTAAAGTACAATTTTAAAAATTAAATTTACTTTTTCTCTTTTTGTGTATAACATTAAACTGTGTTAAATATTTCATCCATATTAAGTACACCAAGATGAGTAGGGAGGTTGTAGAAGAATCTGTCCCATTTGATCATTAATATAGTCCATAGTTGCTTTTTGAAGTGGGACTTTCACTGCAAAACTGGACTTTAAAACTTAGTAAGCATTTAAATTTTTACTCACACTTAACAGTGCCCTTTTTGTGACTGAAACCACTCTTGCCATCCCACAGTGTGGTGCTTTAGTGTACCGAGTAGCAGTCCTGTGGCGGGGACCCCCTCCCTCATGGGACTAGCTAGCCCTTGTGGTAGTGGATGTCTGATAGGTGTGACAGCAAGTGTGAATATTGTGCCAGCTGAGAATGCCTTAGCTCCACGTAACAGATAATCCAGCAGTAGCTTCAGCACGTGGGATTTTGTTTTAAGTGAAAACAGACTACAGATAACAGCTAGACAATGTTGGCAGTCCCCTAGGTGCTTTTGTTTTTCTGTCCATGATGAAATAGCTTGATTCCACTTAATTGTAAGATACTTGGAGAAGGTCATGTATCTACATCTCATCCACTTAGGGTAGGAAGAAGGATGATGGTACCAAATACATTTCTTCATTTTATGAGGAGAACAAAAGCCAAACCAAAATCCCTTTGGAAACGTTACTTGTGTAAAATGCTGGATCACTAGCCATTTCTACTGCCCAGAGTACTGGGAATCAAGTCCTACTTTTGGTTTTGCAACCTCTACCCTGCAAAACAGTCATGGAAAATGGTGTAACCAGTCCACAGCTTGTCACAGGAGGGAAAGTAGGAGCAAGAGGAATGGGCTATGCCTATTCTGTTTTGTCGCTAGTGGGTAGACACACCAGGGCAAACAGGATGATCCACAGGCCTCCGCTGAGAACCTCCATGCCAAAAGAAGGCCTGGCCCCCTGACTGTTGGTGGTTTTAGTGGCCAGCAACTTTGGTTCTCACATAGCCCAGAATCTGGGTTGTGGAGTTCCTGCATCAGCTGCCTGACTCAGGACTGCTGTTGTGTCTCTCAGCTCAGCGGTGGGTCAGTCCAACAATTCTCACACCTTTCTATCCTCAAGGGTTATTTATTTATTTATTTATTTATTTATTTATTTATGTATGTATGTACCGGGGATCAAACTTGGATCCTTGTGCTTGCAAAGCAGGTAGCAGAACCACTGAGCTAAATCCCTGGCCCTTTCAGGGATTATTTTAGGCACACTTCTACTTCCTTGTCCCTGAGGCCTGTGCAGTGATATTGTGGCTCACTGGAAGGTCTCCTAAAGCCCAGAGATGCTTATATAAATCAGCTCACCCCTTCTTGGGATGTAGGGTACTAGAGGAAATTGTTCTCCATCTATCCTCTATAGGCAGTCTTGGCTTACATTTGCTTAACAAGAACAATTCAAAGGACTCTTCAGAGAACAAGAAAATCATCCAGAGTGACTCCCTGTATTGCCTACTTGATTACCAGAGAAATGAACTTCAACTTTTCCCATTTGAAAGAAAAATTTTGGCCATCCAAAAAAATTAGAAAATATGCAGTTATTTCAGTACTTGCAAATGGTACAGTCAATTGAAGTTTCATATAACGTATCTTTAGATCATATCCATTCATATGTTAGTTACTTTTCTCTCATTGCTAAGACAAAATACCCAGCACCAAAAGTTAAATGGGAAAGGGTTCATTTAGCTCACAATTTGTAGAGGTTTCAGTCCATAATTGGTTGGCTCCAAGGCAGGGATGGTAAGCAGACACTGCAGAGGAGAAACAACGTGGAACATACAAAGTAGCAAAGGTAACAAGAGACTTTAACAATGTCTTTCTCCTCCTTTTATCTTACTCAGACTACCGGGGTTAGGGCAGTGCCAAACCAATCACAGTAGCGGTTTAGTAACCACACGCCCTTAATCCTAGCATCACACGCTAGATTCATCTACCTCAGAAAAAGCCTACGGGGGGAAAAAAAAAAAAAGCCTACGACTGCATAAGGCTTTGGAGGGACATCAAGACAAAAACCATTAACAATTTACTTTCATTCATTCCTTCAACCAATGTATCTGTGAAGTCTACTGAGTGCCAGCCCCGGACCTAAGTGCTGTGGACGTAAAGTCAAGTCAGGCACTGCGGAGGAGGTCCAAGCGGAGGACATTAGCGTAGACCGTGTGGGGGAGACAGGGAAATCACTTTGACCATATTGTGTGGTAAGTGCCAAGGCAGATGGTTACATAGAATGGTAAGGATTCCCAGAGGAAGGCCAGCTAAGTCAGGTCAAGAGTCCAAAAGCTTTTCAGGGCCGAGGACGTTTAACCCGAGCTTTGAGGTGTGAGTAGAACTTGCTAAAAGAGTTTCCGGGGCGGGGGGGAAAGAGCCTGGGTGGTGGCATGAAGGCCTCAGACAATCTGGTGGTCTGTCCATATGGAGTGAAAGGTATTTGGAGAAAAGTCTTAGAGACCAGAGAGGAAAAGGATCCAGATATGGCAAAATGTTGATGAGTTTGAACTCTGAATCATAGGTTATGAATTAGGCCTACAAGCATATTAGGTGATTCCCCATCCTTCCCCAAGAGTAGAAAAGTAAACTTTAAATGTTTCATTCTGATGAAAGAGGAAAATTAAACATCTATGATGAATTGAGTGTAAAGCCCATGGTCTCCTCAAAATGACAATTAAAATCATTTTAGAGTAATAGTCCCTTTCTGCCAGCCCCTCTGCTTGCATTAGTTTAAGTAGATTAAACCCTCTGGAGAGTTAAAAGTTGTAGTGAATGCTTTATCCTGGAAACGATAATGATTCAGATACTCTCTAGGGCAGAAGTCATTTCCTGCAGTAATTTTTCCAGGCTATTAGAGCTCCATCTCTCCCCTCTGCAATATAAAATGCCCAAAATGGGACTCAGTAAACCTCTAGCATCTCTACTAATACAGTTTCAGGAAACAGCTTAGGTATAGGAAGGACAGAGACCAATATCTGCACATCCTTTTTCTCTAGTTTGGCCTCAGATTGTGCCAGTGCTTCTCTAGTTTCCTAGAAGACTGTGATTTTGAGAAGCAGAGTCACACAATGAAGTTTTAGTGTAGTTCAAGAAGTCAGGGTGAAAAAAAAATTTTTATGTGCTCTATTTTCAAATACAGCAAAAAACATTTTGTCAGTTGGTTTTCAACCCCTTTTACATATTTTCAAAGTTGTGTTCTGGGGGCTGGGAATGTAGCTCAGCGGCACAGCACCTGCCCAGTAAGTGTGAGGGCCTGAGTTTGAATCCCTGTACCAAAAAAACAACAACAATGTTGTGCTCTGGTATACTCTGAGACTTTTGTATGGTGAACATTACAGAAAATCATCATGTTGCTATTCTTGTTTCTAATCCTCTGTGTATAATGGTTGCCACATAAATGAGTAAACATGAGCTTATTTTACTCTGAACTCCACAAAAATATTGATTAAAGTGACCTAGTATTTGATTTTCTCATTTAGAAAGCCCCTTCCCATATATTGCTTAATTTAATTCTCACACTATTACTGTAATGGATTTCACAAGCTAGGAAAGTATCCATGATCCCAAGTTTAAGTCTTCATTGCCTCATCTATGAAAGCTTCCCATAAAATAGATTTGCGTACTTCCTTATCAATCTAGTCTTCAAGATTCTGCTTTAACCATTAGAAAGCTCCCCAAATGATGCTGATAGCTCAATTTAAAATCCCTGGTTATGGAGATTTTTCTAAAACTTAGCAGGAGAAGCAGAGCTCAAACCCCAAAGATGCTGAATGCAGGTCAAAGGTGTTTCACAAATGATGAGGGGCAGGGTAGGGATGGTGGAAAGGGAGGTGGATAAAAGTGCATGTCAATTGCTGGTAGAAAGGATAAATCTTAGAGTACTTCTTTAAAAAATAATTTTAAAAAGTGAAGATGAATGAAATGATCAGAAATTTTTAGATTGGTAACATTTTTTGGGATAAAGGGAAATAGGACAGATCACATTGCTAGTGTAGGTGATTGCGTTAGAGCATAATCTTTTTGTTTCTATGCATGAAAGGCAGGAAATGAAGGAGAACGAGACAGAAGAAATGGTAGATTTGTCCTTTGTATCTTTTGAAGAGCTAAGGTAGAAAGAATCCACAATAAGCTGCAGCTGAGGACAAATCATTGAAAAAGTAGTTGCCATCAAACTGGTAAATTCCCAGATACAGAGGGATGAGTACTGCATGTTTTAGAAAACAAGTTATTTTCAAGCCCAAGAAAGAAAGGTCATAATGGTAGGTATTTTTCTGTTACCAATGATGAAAGTAAGACTTAAAGAAGAAAAGGAAATTGCCTAAGATGCTCCACAAATGTGTAGGAGAACCCATCAAACCATGACTATAATAAATGTTGGAATAAAGAAGAATTCATAGAGAAAAATAAATTCCAAGAGACTGACAGGAGGCTTTGGTAGTATGACTTGCAATCCATTTTGTGGTATTTATGGTCTCTTAACATTGCTTTGTT